GCCATACCTCTGCCTAGAAGGGAAGGGAACCAGGCCCAGCCTGATCCTCTGGGCCTCAGTGCAGTTTACCCATTCCCATTTCTGACCCTTCATCCTGACCCTAAAACTTGAGCCAGATACTAGGGAAATGCCAGACCCACATGGCTCCTGAGAACAGATACCAGCTCCCAGAGCACGAAGCAGGGTGGGGATGGAGGTGGTGGGGTAGAGAAGGGAGGAGGGTGGAGGGGGTGAGGTAGGTTGTGGTGTGGTTCACTAGATGTCTGTTTTTCTTCCTAATGTAGTCCCATTTCTCTGTTACTCGTCTGTTTAATTGGCCTATTGAGGACAACCGGCTGAGCCTGCTTCCTTAGTACTCCGAGGATCTAGGTTCTGTCCCTAATAACTCTGGTAGCAAGATGGGAAGGGGAGGACCTGAAATTTTTGGAGGGTAGTTTGCCACCTCCTGCAGCAATCTAGGAAGGGAGGCAGCCTTGGAGTCCTGTTATTATCCCCTTTCTCGGGCTAGTGCTAGGCAACAAGTCTCCTCCTAGCATGCTTGGGACAGAGCATGTGGTTGGCTTTGCCATAGGTCCAGAGAGGTCTACACCTTCTAGGCCTGATGTAGGTTGATGAGACAGACCTGACAGCCCTTCTGGGCTCCCACACAGTTGAGAGGTTGGTCGCTCTATCCAGGTGGGTCTTTTGCTGTAGCCACACACGGCTCAGTGGATTGAAGACAGCAATCAGTGTCTCTGGCCCTCCCAGAGGCCAGAGTATAAGAATGGACCATTCCCTACTCTGCCTCTTGTCTCCAAGTGTCACCCCGATCCCTGTGTTAGAGACAGTGAGGGTAGGAGAGAGGATGTATGTAGCCTAGTAGACTTGGGACACACTACTAAACAGAACCTTGGTGTCAAGTTACCATAGCAAGGGGCTGTCAGTTCAGGTGCACCCCTTTGGGGTTGGGGGAGGGGGCACTCAATCTGCTTTGTCACAAGATAAACACAATGATGACAGCCCTCGGAAGGCAAGGAAGGAACAAAGTGGAGGCATTGTTTGGGAAAGGCAGGATGCGCAATATCTGAATTCTGCTCCTTTAGGGCTCTGTCATGAACTGTGGCTGGGCACCAGTAAGAAGTTCCCAGCCGAAATATACCCTTCCAGTCCTCAGGGTGGATTCTCAACAGGCAACGTATGGGTCCAGGATAAAGCAGACTCAAGCACAGCTCCAGGGCTTTTGAGATGAACAAGGAGGAACTGCTCTTTGCTTTAAGGGGGGGAGTTAACAGTGGAGACGGTCTTGTGAAAAACATTAGTGCTGGAGATGGACGGAAGCTGGAGTTGCCTAATGGATGCCTAGGTAGATGTGGGGGAGCGGTAGTAACAAGGCCAGGGCTTAGCCTCTTAGACAAGGCTCTGGCGCTCCCCACACAAAGCCTTTGGACAGAAGGCAGGAGTGGGCCTCTGGAGCTGAGACCCGAGTCTGAGGGGAAGTTGCTGGTTGCTGCCTTCACGAGGCTGGGGATGAGAGCATGAGAGAGGAAAGATGGTGCCTCCTGCATGCCATGGCGCCTCTGTCCAGTGTCCACCTACCTTGTAGGGGTCTCAGAGCCTCAGAAGGAAGCCTTTCCAAAAGCAATCCCTTCAGAGAGGTGCCCGCCAGAGCTCAGCAGAACGCCCTGAGAACAGAGGCCCAGGCACTGGCCTAGGTTAGCTTGTTGGTTCCACCTTCCCAAAACTCAAAGCCAGAGGCTCCGTTAGCTCTCAGTACACAGGAGGGGCTCACCCCAGGACACAGCAAAATTGAAGTTTCAGGGGTCAAAGCTGGGATTTCAGCCAAGTCCAGGCCCTTACCACACAGGGCCCGAACACCTACTTGGGCCCCAATGCTCTCTACTCCCTCACAATGGAGGATACCACTGTAACTTGCCCACCTAGGACCGATGACCTTTCCTAGGATCTTCTACGTCTGCACGGACTTCATGGTGCTAAAAGGGGACAAGACTAATGAGGGGCTGGACTTGCAGAGCTGGGCCCAGAGACAGTACTGGGCAGAAAGCAGAGACCCAAGGGCAGTGAAGGAGGCAGACGTTGACTTAAAGATTTTTGGGGGTGGTGGTGGTGGGGTGTTAAATCATAAAAAAAACAGTCCACACAAATGAAGGACAGCCCACCTACTCTGGAGACTACACCCACTCTTACTGCTCGAGGTACGTGGAGATTTTTTCCTATTGGGCCAAAGGTCAGGGCCTTTTTAAAGACTTAATCTCCATTGCTATATTGCCTTTCAGGAAAGAGACTGTTCTTGCTGTTGATCCTAAACCCACCTAAGTCCTTACCATCACTACTTCCCTGTCTCCTTTGCCAAGGAGGCGAGATAACACGATTCCTTACATCCTTTGAAAGCCAAGAAGGGTCGTTTCCCCAGTTGCTTCCTTTTTCTTTTTCAGTGTTCACTTCTTGAATCTGTGTAAGTGGGAACTATTTGTTCTCAGCCTTAACTCACTTATCCTTGGGTCATTGCTCAGCAAAGACTAACTTCCTCAGTGTCACCGTGGGAGGGGCCCGGGAGCACCTGCTCTAAGGGAGCTCTTTGAATAGCACAGCAATGAACTTCCGCGTTATTATACTCAAGTCAGATTTTTTCCTCCGATCTGACTGCATAGTTATGCTTCAATTTTTACAATTACATGAACTGTTTGTTTATTTATTTTTGGTGTTTTTGAAATAGGGTCTCTACCACATCCCTGGATGTCCTGGAACTCACTATGTGGACCAGACTAGACTGGCCTAGACTCGCCTGCCTCTTCCGCCTGAGTGCTGGGAATAAAGGCATGTGCCACCTTCCGGCTTTCATGCTTGTTTTAAAATGTAGATAGCTGGGACTGGAGAGATGGCTCAGTGGTTAGCAGCACCATTTCTCTTCCAGGGGACCTGAGTCTGGCTCCCAGTACACACATATGACATCTCACAACCACCTTTAGTTCCAACTCCAGGGGACCCAATACCCTCTCTGACGTCCAAGGGCACTGTACTTACGTGTACAAGCCCACGCTCTGACACATACACATAATTTAAACATACTTAAAATGTAAATGGTCAAATTTGTTTCATGTTTTCCTCACATGAATTTGTTTTGTTAGCAGTTCTAAAACTCAGACTCATCCCTTCATGATCTAACAAATATTTAATTGTATTTAAAACATATATAACACAAATTTTCCCCATTAGGAACTTCTTTTGCGGGGTGTATTGTCTTGAGACAGGGTCTATGTAGCCAATGTTTTTCTATGTAGCCGAGGGTGATCTCGAACTACTGAGCCTCCTGTCTCCGCTTCCCTAGTGCAGGCATTGCAGGCCTAATTGCAATAACCTTGCCTGACTGTGTTTGGAGCTTCTACTTAATATGTTTTTTAAGGTTTATTTTTTATGCATTTGAGTGCTTTATCTGCATGTAATGCCTGCAGGCCAGAATAGGGCATCAGATGCCATTATTTTGGTCATGAATTACCATATGGTAGTTGGGAATTGAACTCAGGACCTTTGGAAGAGCAGCCAGTGCTCTTAGTCACTGAGCCATCTCTCCAGCTCCTCTACTTAAAATTGAGTTCTATTAGACTGCTTTAAAAATGTTAAGTCTTGGGGTGGTAGCTCAATGGTAGAGGGCTTGCCTACCTATACAAAGTCTTTTGATCTTTTTGGATTTGCTCTCCCCACCACAAAATGTTAAGTCTTCAGTGTTTTGGGATTATGTAGGGTTATAAATAATAATCAAACCAAATCAAACCAAGACACTCTCCAAGCAGGTATGAGAAAGTCAACTCAAACAGTTAAGCTTAGTTACTAGAGGACTCTACCAGAGACTTACCAAGAGCCTTCAAGACCTAGTGAGACTGGCAAGATTAGCTGTGCTCCTTAGCACATAGTAGGTGCTTAGTGGAGTGAGGTAAAGAGATGAAGGAGCAGGAGAATAGACAAGACGATAAGAATTCGAACATCAATCTAAGGCACACACTTCTTAAATGTCAGGTCTTTTTGGAGCCTGCTGCTATGTCTCTTGGACCTAGAATAATGCCTCAGGCAATAATAACTGTTACATAGATAAAGGAATACATTATGTGCCCATTCTTCCACCTGATCTCTAGTCCCTAGTAGCCTCCCTTGATCAGAAGAGGAGACAGGGGCCCCAAGTCACAACCAGAGGTGGCTCTGAAGGCAGATACAAGCACCAGCAACTGAGTCAGAGAGTGCAATCCCAGAAGTGCTCTCTGGGAGATGTCAGGGCCCTCATAGTCCCAGAGGACTTTTATGCCAGTATCAGAAGCCCAACCACATCCAGTCTGGCAATGGTAGAAGTTCCTCCCCAGGGAGATCTGTCACCATCCCGGATAGCCAAGGGAGACTCCAAGTCTTCCTCTACAGAGTGAAGCTGGGCAGAGCCTGCTGGGCACTGTGCTCAGAGTGGCCAGGTGGGCAGAACCTCACAGTGCAGGGCAACCCGAGTGCATATCTGCTGGTTCACTGCCTTCCAGAGACTGATGCCCACTCTTTCCTCCTTACCTTTCGCCCATCACTTGGGTAGATCAGTGCAAACCATGAAAAACTATTTTTTTTCCTCTATGAGAACCAAAATAGGTGGGGCTTTTGGTAAAGCCCTCCTACACAGCCATGACCCGCAGGTGCCAGGGAAACTGGTTCAGTTCAGACAGCTGCCAACACAGCCTGATCCTAAGAGTTGAGGTCACCCTGGCCCTGTCCTCCTCTGCCCAGCATCTAGAACACCAAAGTACCACACATTTTAAGGAAGAGACCCCAAAGCCTGACACCAGAGTATTATGACATGTTTCCAAATATTACCTTGGGTAATATTTCAGATTGCCCTGGCACAGCCCCACAGAGTCCCGGGTCACCACAAGTGCAAGCCCCGCCAGCAGTTTAGGAGAGATGGCTCCCCTAAACCCGTGCCTGTGTTGGAGGTTTAGAAGCTTCCATGGCAAAGAAGAGAGGAAACGATGAGCTTTATAAAGAACCATATTTATTTTCATTTACAGCATAAAATATCATAAATAAACCTAAACATCGTCTTGCTGTGTAAAATACAGGGTTCCACATGGCACTGTAAATGAATTCTCTAGGGTCACAGACATGCCTTGCCATGAGAGGGGGAGGAGGCTAGCTAGGGAGGCTGAGAGCAAGGGGGGCTCTCTTTGGTTGACATTTTAGAGAGGGGAATGCTGGAAGAGAAGAAGAGAGGAGAGGAGAGGGCTTTGTACTGGCTGGGCACTGCGCCAATGCAGCAAGCAAGTGCAGCATGCAGGGCCGACAGAAGCTGAAGGGCAGGGTAGCTCTAGCTACAGGCGGGATGCACTCTGACTCAGGCCCGAGGATGTGGGGCTAGACTCAACGCCCACTCTCTGCTCTCCGTAGTAGAGTAGCTTTTTGTAGTAGCACATGACCATCCTGCTGCTCCAGGTAAATGAACAGAGGGACTATGTGCTTTAGATAGGTTGACATTTACAGTGGCTGGCCTGAGCTCTTTCTGAAAGCCAGCCCTTTTCCTGTGACTGTGACTGTTCTGATTAAGGCTTATGAACCAGTGGGACTTAGGAGCCCAGGGACAGATGAAAGGCATACAAGGCCCTAGGACTAACTGCTGAAACAGGAAGGGGCTGCTAACATCATTATATGCATAGCACAGAGCATGGGGCAAGCTGGCCACACAGAGTCTGGGAGCCAGTATACTTTTAAAACCTCGCCACACTGAGTTACTTATGGTTCCAATGGAAGGCTTTGGGAATCTTTGTATTAGAAGTGACAGAAGAAGATATCCCTACGCCTGTTCTTTTTAGAAGGCCACTAAGCAGAAATGTTTCCTAAGCCACAGAGGCTTCCTTACACGGTATTGTCTCACAATCATGGTGAACCCTCCCAAGAAGATAAGAGGCTTTGAAGGTGCAATGGAGAAAGCGCATGCATAGAGGCCAGTCCAGGGTGGTGGCGGGAGTGGGGGAGGCGCGGGGGGCATGCACTTGTCGTGGACCCAGGCTGCTGGCTGGGCTCCAAAGAAGGGGAGGCAGAACACGGCTTCCAAGCTGACCCCCACCCCATGCTGTTAACCACTCATGCCTTAGAGAGTCCGTTAGTATGCAAGACACAGTTAGTGCTACCAGTACCACCGACGCAGAGGGTGCAGAGGACGGGCAAGGAAAGCGGGGTAGGGGTTAGTACCTCTTTCGGAAAATTGCCAAGAAAATGAGTCACCTTAGAGCAGGAGTGTCAGCCAAGAAGTGGGTGTAGGACTGGAAGGCTGAAACGCACTGGCGGCCACAGTGTGAGGTTGGAAAGAGAAAGACAGAAAGGAGGACTTAGCGAGGGAGTAAGACAATCCCAAATCACAAGAGGAAAAGGCACTGGAGGTGGAAACAGGGCAACCACTGTCCCCCCCACCCCCCAGATGAGGTGAGACGGACCTTCCTGGTGGTGCCCAGCCATCCACTTCCAAGAGTGGGTACACAGTGTCTGCATATTCACAGATCCCCATTCCTGTCCCCAAACGTTCCCAGGAACCTTCGCCCCCGCCTCCCAGGCCCTCTGTCTCCATTATACTCTGGGGCTTCAGACTCAACCTCGAGACAAATTCAGAATTTCTGGAGTATCTGTCTCCCAGAACCCGCCCCTGCTGCTGCCCACCAGGAAGGTTCAAGGTCTCAACACAAGCTGAAGTCTGGTAGACAGACACACCCTGTCTACCAGAGTAATTCAAACCAGCCTCCTTATGGCTATAAATGACATTTTTTTTTTTTTAGAGAGTTCACTCTGGCTTCCCAGAGCATTCCACAGAGCATCTCAGCCCACCCTGAGCTGGAGAAAATCACTATAATATGACCTCAAGAGTTCATGTGGCATAATGAAACATAATAGGACCCAAGGGTTTCTCTCATCATGCTTGACCATTAAATCCCCAGCTAGAAGCAGGGCAAATACAATGTACGTCATTACACTGGCAATAGTTCCAACAAGGTCAGAGGTGCTGGTTCCCACAGACTCGATCACAGCCATACCCTGTCTTTCCCAGGACTTCAGGACAGAGTCTCCGGAAATGCACCCCTCTTTCTCCACCTTACAGAACCTTACGTCAAAGCTTTCAAGACGCTTTGTCTTTAACAAGTCCTTCTTAGTCTTGGAGGGAGTGCTAGTGGCCACAGCTCTCCACAGCTGTCCCCAGTGACGGTAGAGACCCTGAGTTTCTAGTCCATAGTTGCACTCCGTGAATGTGGAGACCCTGAGAACCTAGGAGGCCCTTATTGACCCTCCAGTTGCTCAATCTGCTACAGAAGCTGAGCATCACAGAGTTGGGTGGGGACAGCTTTAGGCTTTTCCAGACACCCAGTGTAGAAAACATTTATGGGTTCAAAGCCACCCAAAGACCAGACACTCTTTTCTGGAGCACTAGGAGAAGGATCTCTGACTGTATGGGTGACATACACAAGGCAGCCATGTGCCTGAGCAGTCAGGATGCCACCAGCAAGGCTCTCTGATCAGGGCCAGCAAGTACCCTCAGTTCAAAGGACACCAGGTGGAGACAGCCTGACCATAATGGACCTGAGTGGCTTTGGCTCAGCCTGAAGCCTGGGCTGAGGACTTGATAGAGGTGAAAATGACACCATTTGAAAAAGTTTGTCCTCAGCATCACATCAGCCTGTGAGCTATTTGGGGCCAAGTGCCAGTGGGCTTCGCTGTAGTACCCATTAGTGGGGAGGAACATGTAAGTTTGCAGCGCAGTAGCCCTGTGGTTCTATGCTATTGGCTGTGACTTGGTGGGCATAAGGGAGCCTTTAAGCTACTGTTTGACTTCAAAAGATAGAAGTAAAATACCTCTCCCTGACCCTGAGGATAGATACCATTGACACACTGCTGTGTGCTTTGGTTAATTTTGGTTTGCTCTACACCTCCTACTTATTTCTCTTAACCTTACTGATTTTACATATATGCATTTTTGAAAACAAACAAACAAACAAGCGCAGCATCCACTGTGAACAGGTGGCATCTGTATGCAAAAATCAAAAGGCGCTGGTCTAGGGCTGGCTCTATTTTGTGACTCTAAAGTCTCAACTCATTAACGTTGCTGGCAGCAACAAATCTCAACTCATTGCCAAGTTTGAGAGTCTTGTAAAACTGGTGATAAAAATTAAACAGTTAGAAGTATTGATACTTGTAGAAAAATAATGCTTTCTTTTTTGGCTTATGAAAAGTTAAAAATTGAAATGTAAACCTGGAAAAATGGCTCGCTTTGGTATGAAAAGACAAAACAATACAAAGCTGTTTTCTAAAAAAAAAAAAAAAAAAATCCTTCATGTTGTCCCTGGTCCTAGCACCATGAATAGATGCTCAACCTTGTCAAAGCCAGGAGGAGGTGGCTGATGTGGGACTCTTTGGCTTGGAGCTAATTGGTTATGGATGCTGGCCAGAGCCAGAGCAAACTACAAATATTGCAGTCTCCACTTGGAAATGTTAGGGCACTGTGGGGCAGTATGTGCCTCACTGCAGCTTCACCGGGATGAACCTGAGCAACCAGCTGCGGATACTCTCCAGGGACTCCTCAGACTCCCTGTACATGGCGGCCAGGACCTCGGAGAAGGCCCAGAGGAGCAGCAGCCCCAGGCTCAGGAACTCAAACGTGAAGCAGTAGTTGTGAGAATTGTCCCTGACATGGTGGCCAGCAGCATTCAGGAGTCCCTGCATCCACCTAAGCAGGCTCTGGGGCAGGTCGAGAAGGCCTCTTGTCAGCCTGATAGGCCAGCTCAGTGCCTTCCTAAAGAAGGAGGTGGAGATACCTGGAGGGCTGCCTTCTGGCGTGCTGATGGCCGCCACTGCGCAAGAGCTCTCCGCGGGAGTATCCCTCCGAGGGGTTTCCTGCTCCTGCCATGTCCCTTCCTCCTGAGAAAGACAGCAAAGCAAGAGCACTTAGTCCAAGAGTGTCAGAGGCTGCCTCCATCACAGCAGGCTGAGCCAGGGGAATTAACTGGGGTGGCCCCCACATTGGTACTGAAAGTGGCCGCAACTTGTTTTAAAGGGGGCAAATTTACCATACCATGCACTAGCTTTCCAAATATGCATGCCCTTTGACCTGCATACCTACTTGTATTGTTATATAGTACATGAATAATTAGAAATAGGGATTAAGATTTGTATACAAATATATTCATTGTAAAAATCTGTACAAGATAAAATTGTTAAATAGTGTAAAGGCCCAACAGGATGGAGCTACTGAAGCAGATTATTATTATTGCATCAAATATAATCTTTTAATAGTATTAGAAATTATACTCCTGAGCAAGGTGTGGTGGCACATGCCTTTAATCACAGCATTCAGGAGGCTGAGGCAGGGGGATTTCTGTGACTTTGAGGCCACCCTATCTCAATCCAAAACCAAAACAAGTTTTACTCCTGAACTGTCAGCCTCCCGCGTTCCCTTCACCACTTTCTCCCCTCCCTTTTGTTGAGTTAAAGTGTGACTAGGTTGCTCAGAGAGGCCTTGAACTTCAAATGTAGACTGGACTAAACTCAAATTCCAGCCCTTTGGCTTCAGTCACCCAAGTGCTGAGATTATATAGGAGCTGGAGAGATGACTCCACAGTCAGCAGCATTGGCTGCTCTTCCAGAAAACATGGGTTTGATTCCCAACACCCACATGGTGGCTCACAACCATCTGTAACTCCAGTCCCTGGGGGATCTGACACCCTCTTCTGGCCTCCATGGGCAAAGGGCACGAATGTAGTACACAGACATACATGTAGGAAAAAAATGAGGAAAAAATTTTAAAAGATTTTCCAATATCACAGAAAACTGCTCTTGATATGCTGCCAGCAAAGAAGCCCAACAAGCTCTAGCGGTGGGGTCTACTCAGAGAGGGCCCATCTGGGAGGAGAGGCGACAGAGCACAATGCAGCTTTTCCAAATGTCAGTCGCATTGAACAACTGCCACAGTGTCAACTGGAGCAAGTAACAGCCTGTCCCAGGAAGTGGTCGGTGATGCTAGTGTCTTCTATCTACTCTCGCATTTTCCTGCAGCAAGCCTGTGACAGCAGGCATCACTAGGAAAGCTCGAGTCATGGTGAGTCATCCCAAGAGCTGCCAGAAGGGGGCACTACTACAAACCATACCTAGGACGGGACCTGGAAACCTGGCCTTCCTCCTGGGCATAGAGGGACCACAAGGCTTTTGCCTAGTTCAGCATACAGCTCAGTCTCGACACGTGTACAAGCATTTTTTTAACTTCTCAGAGGAAGCTATCACCTATCAGGGAGCTGGCATCTGAAACAGAGCCAATCCCAGAGGCTGCTGAGCAGACTAAGGCAAACAAATATTCTAGAAGGGGATTTGTAAGTGTTTAGGGGCAGTCTCTCTCCCTTCAGGGCTAGAGAAGTCCTTCTAACTTTGAGGTTGCCTTTAGAGACCTCCACAAGGGGAAGAGATCGCCCCTGCTCTCCCAGCACTGCGGAGACCGACGTACCTCTCTTGGCTGCTTCAACTCTGCCCGTCTCTTCCGTTGTTTGCTGTTGGTTTTACAATGAATGAAATGGGGCTTGCAGTAAAATTTGCCTGTGACAAGAGATACAAGTTCATACAGTTTTTCTCTGTTGACAGGATCACGGGAATAACTGCTCACCCCTGGCCAGTCAGAACACAACAGCCATGGAAATCAGTCCAGCTCAGACACGAGCAGGAGCTTGTACGCTCACCCTAACATGGCACCAGCTACCCAAACAGAAGTTAGATTTCTTCACAAGGCAGGGAGAAAAATAGGTAGCTCTAAGTATCAACTCCCCAGTCCTTTCTGGGATCTTGAGGGTCAGTACAGCTGGCCAGTGATGAGAGAAAAGACTCAGGCAGGGTACGTGCTGGGTAAAACAGCAGCCGCCCAAGACCACTGGGTACCTTCTAGGATGGGCACTGCTGCCTACTTCTGTGACAGTAACAAAAATGGTGGTGATAATAGTGATGATGATAATGGGGAAACCATTTCACATATAACGTAACTCATCAACTTATCATCCCACATCTGAGGCTGAGTCCCTGTACGCAGCCCAGGCTGGTATGGAGCTCAGAATCTTACTGTCTCCGCCCCCAGAGTGCTGGGATCATTGGTGGGTAGCATCCACGCAGGTCCTACCATTATCCTCCTTTGCAGATGATGAAACTGAGCAGGAATCTAAGTAGCAGCTCCAGGGCTATGCAGGGAGCAGGTACTACTGCCCGGACCCACTCTGGGTAGGAGAGCTTTAAGGCGCACAGTCGTAAGCACTATGTCACAGCGCCCCACAGTCTGTATGACAGTATAATATCAAAGGCTGACGAACTGAAAGGGATCTCTTTGTGTAGTGAACATAATTCTTTGCTGATGAGCTCTGGTAGGCCACTTACCCAAAGAGGTGCAAATTTTGAGGCCAGTTTTAGAATTCATACTTTGTGTGTGTTTATACAGGTATGTGTATGTGTGTGTGTGTGTGGGGGGTCAGAGTGCAGCCTCAGTTAGCTATTCAGGCACTGTTACCTTGGCTTTCTGCTTTTGTTTTGAGAAGGGGCCTCTCACTGATCTGGAACGTACCAACCAGCCTAGGCTGGCCAGTCAGAGAGCCCTGAGGATGCTCCTGTGTTGCCTCTCCAGTGCCAGGGCTATGAACATGCCCCAGCACACACTGCTTTTCTCTCTCTTTCTTTTATATTTCATTTTGAGACAGAACCTCACTATATACCACAGGCTGGCTTGAAGCTCACTGTGTAGACCAGTCTGACCTCAAACTCCAGAGACCAACCTGACTTTGCCTCTCCTCCTTTGAGGGCTGAGATTATAGGTATGAACTACCACATTTGGTCCCATTTAAACAAGACAAAACATGGGGGCTGGTGAGATGGCTCAGAGGTTAAGAGTACGGACTGCTTTTCCACAGGTCTTGAGTTCAATTCCCAGCAACCACATGGTGGCTCACAACCATCAGTAATGAGATCTGGTGCCCTCTTCTAGCCTGAAGGCATACATGCTGTAAGAACACTGTATACATAAATATTAAATAAGTTTAAAAAAAAAAAACAAAGGTTCAGGAACTGGATACAAGTCCTCATGGATGCAAGATTGCACTTAGCTTCCTGAGTAACCCCCCTGGCTCCACATACTTTATTAGCACACCATCATTCATTAAGCTCTTATTTCATGCCAGGTATAATTCTGAGCATGTCACACAGTTCATTAGGTTTGGTTATCTTGGCCTCACAGGCACCATGGATAGCGATGGAGCTGAGTGGGACAGTCAGGGCCCTCAGCAGACATTAGGTGTCACTGTGCCTGGTGGCTTTGTTTCTGGTGTAGGGTCTTCCAGTTTCCCTAAGCAGTGTTCCTGATGACACCATACTCCTGTTGGTAAGTCCTACAGCCTCCCAGAGCAAAGTCACAACTAAGACAGAGGCCATTGTCGTCTCGGTCCCCAGGGTTACCTTCATCGCAGTCAAAGGCATAGGCAGCCAGGCGCAAGGTAGTGGTGCAGACGCTGCATCGGAAGCACTCGCGGTGGAAAAAGTGACCCTCGGCACTCAGCCGCTCCATCACAAACACGCGCTTCTTACAGAAATAGCAGGTGTCGCTGCCGCCCAGGCTCAGGGGAAATGCCTTTCGCACGGATTCCTAGGGCCAGGAGAAAAGAACAATGTGTTAGGGCTGAATATGACTTTAAAGGCCGGGCCTAGGGATGTAGAAATCCTTAATCAAATCACAGCATCTTCAGGGCTCCTGGCTGCTGCTTATGTCACTGCAGACAAGAGCAAGGGCCGGAAGTCACACTCCCCACAGCCTCCACCCCTGCAGGGGCTCTCCGCCAGGTTGATCTAAACGAGTGGACATCTTGCTTGAATATGTCTATCTTGTGTTGTTTCTTGCGGTCCGTCCCAGAGGGTAAAAGTCAATGGGTACCACAATGATGTTGTGTGATGATCAGTGATAGTTGTCAGCTTGGCAGAATCTAGTCTCACCTGGGAGCTCTGGGCAAGCCTGTGGTGGATTACCTTGATTAGCTAACCAAGGTGGAAAGACTTGCCCACTGTGAGTGGTACCATTCTCTGGCTAGGAGCTTGGACGGCAGACAGAACAGCAGAAAGCTTGCATCTAACCCTCTCTGCTTGCTGATTGTGGACGCAATGTGTCCACCTGCTTCAAGTTCCTGTTTGACTTCCTGCCATGATGGACTTGTGCCTTGAACTGTGAGTTAAATAAACTCTCTCCCCTGAAGTTAGGCTTGTCGGGGTAGTCCATCGCAGCAAGAGGGAAAGAAACCACGAGATGGTGTGCTATATGTCTTTGCCCCTGCAGTGACAGGGGTCAAGTGAGGTCACTGGGTGTGACTTCAGATCTATTAGAGAGAGAGCCGAAAAAGGGAGCTTGTGTCTTACGATTCCCTCCACACTAGCAATGGGGAAGGGAAGGGCTGGAGCAGGCTGATGCTGGGCAATTCCAGGTCAGTGAGTCCAAAGGAAACGAGCTCAACAATCAGGGCACAGTGTTGCTGATGGCAAAATGCCACTTAGAGCAAGGAGGGCGAGAGAGAGTCAGAGGGAAGACGTGCTCGTCCTGCTACACATGTCTCAGTTCCCAGGTTTACTTAGGTCTACTCAGGTTGGACACTAAATGCTGAACATGGGGACTTGTACAATAGCCCTGCAGGCCTGATACTGAGTAGATCCTGAAAGTCGCAGATGGCAGCGAGCATGTCTTGCGTGGAAAATGAACCACAAGGACCCGAGCGAAGTCAGTCTTTGAAGAAATATAGCTTCCCCAGCCTCTGCTGGCTCTGGCCTACTTTCAGCACCCCCTTATTGGTCCCTTTGACTCCTCTCCCATATTTGCCCTGGGGAGGCTGGGCAAACACCTTCAGGGAGAGGCTGACCGCGCGTTTCCTTACCAGGTCTGGAGAGATGGCCTGTGTCTTAGGTCTGTGGTCATTCAAGTACAGATTGACTAGCACTTCAGCCGCGGCCCCTATTCCACTGGACACTTTCCCTACTGTCAGCTAGCCGAGAGAGAGCAGAGGTGAGGAAACAGACAAAAAGAGAGGCAGTTAGCACCCAGCAGAAATGTCGGGCGAGGGGAAGAGGGTTCCAGCCTGGAGGAAGGCAGGACCACAGCATCTCCAGAGGTAAACCAGATAACCTGGAGCAGACACCAGAGGTATAGAAATGGACAGAAGGCAAGAACTCCCAGACTGATGGTAGCAAAAGGAAAAAAAGCCCCCATTTCTACTCCTATCAGCTTGCCAGATCACAGAGATAGAGCCAGTTACAGTAACACAGGCCTAGAATCCCAAAACTCAGGAATCTGATGCAGGATGGCTGTGGATCTGAGGCCAGCCTGAGCAACAGAGTGCCATCTAGACCAGTCTGAACTATAGAATGAGATCCTGCTTTCAACTCATAAAAAACAAATCCCAAAACCAACAATAAAATCATAGACAATGAAACCATAGCCAGGGGTTGGGGAGGGAGTTTGTACATAACGGGTCTAGGGTTTATGTTCTGAGATGCAAAGATCTGCATTTTTCCTAAATGAGTGAACCAAGTCCAAGAGCTCGTTGCTTTGTGGCATGTCTTGGAAACTTGTAGAGAGGAGCTAGGTCTGAGTCCCACCCCATGACCTGCTCAGCATAGCAGTCAGAAGGCAGCTCTGGAGTGGTGGCTACAGACCAGCATCACTGAACAGCTCGAATAGGGGATGGCATAATCACACATCCAGGCCCAGCCAAGTCCCACTAGGCCCCTCCCTCCCCAGCAGCTCTGACAGACCACACTGAGAAGGCTTTGTCTGCTGTCAGGAGGTGAATAATGCATAGCCCAGGAGGCCAGATGTACTGTTTGTGATCCCCAGGCTCTTGAGAGGAGGCTCCAAGACCTGCTGCCTTCCAGATTCAACCGCTGAGAAGAGCGGCCAGAACTAGTAAGCCATCGAGGCTGCCAGGATTCTAGTACATTGTGTTGCCTCAAGAAACACTGAGTCTTATGTGATCAAACAATGCTTGCCATCCAAATCTAGACTGCTCTTGGGAGCCACGTCTAATGTGCTAACAGCCAGGCTTGAGAACAAAGCAGGAGAGCTAAGGAACTGCAACCAAGCTTGGACCCCCAGCTCCTGGAGCAGGACCACCCCAGCATCTGGGGCTAACGCTTCAGATCCCAGACATAGCTGATACCATGGGGGTGAACATACAGGAAGCTGAGCAGGCAGGAGAGACGGTCACAGAGACCCTCACACCTCTGGCGAGTCTAGAAGCTGTCCTACTGAGAGCAGGTTGGTAGTCACTCCATGTGAGGAGGGTTCTTGGGGACTATAAGGAACATAGCTGCAGGCTGCTGGGGTAAGGGGTTCCGATCTCTCTGGTGTAGGCTGGGCCTCCTCAGCTTGTGCTTGTGAACAACGGCTGCAGGCCAGGCACTGACCCTCCTCCACCCACCCCACTCCCCCAGTCCTGTCCCTGCCCTCATGTCTAGCCTGGGAAAGATTAGAATTCTGATTTGATACAACCTCTTCCCACTTCTAGGAGCCTGCACAAGCCAAACAATCTGGCTCCTTCTAGGAAGGTTCAGTTGTATTGGTTCAGGATGATCAGCCATTGCTTGTCTGATGTTCTGTCCCCTGGTGCGGCCCTCAATCCTGACCCTCAGATGGAGGCTGTAGAATACAAAGTCTACTTGAAAATAAAGAGGGGAGGGAGACTAACTTTCCCCCTGGGTAGCGCCTGCCCAGACTCCTGTGATGAGAACTGGATCCATATCACTCTCCCAGAAAGGAGACGAGGTGTGTCACAACACCCACGGACAGTATCTGCCTTCTGATGGAGCCAAGATTCAGCCTGTACTGTCTGAGACTAGAAACCCGAATGTCTAACGAGACCTTATTAACTGCTTAGCTAATAAGCACTTTATGTCACTGAACTTCTAAGCAATCCTGTCTTAGGGAGAAATCACTGGAGCTTGCAGAGGACTGTGTGGGTGCTGGTGGTATCCCTAAAACACACTGGGATGGTCACAGCCTGTTCGGTTATTCAAATCAGCTGTGCGAGTCACCTGGCAGCTGGGCAGGGTGTCAGGAGACAGCAATGTCCAAAATGAAGGCCACACCCAGTTTTTTTATTTTGAGCCAACTAAGTCAGCAGTGGGTCTCCTGGATGCTCTTCCCACTTACTGGGAACCATCCCAGATCACTGAGCGATAAATGGGATTTATAGAGGTCATAAGGCACTCAAAGGAGGGAGACTTGCCCCAAGGAATGAGAGGGCTCTTGAAGCCTACTCAAGACCAGCATGAAAGTGATCATCAGTCTGAGGACTGGGAGCTATCTTCCTTCTAAAAATCATTTTAGATTTATTATATGTGTATGAGGGTTTGCCTGCATGTGTGTACATGTAGCTCAGAGGCCAGAAGAAGGCATCATATCCCCTGAAATTGGGGCTACAGATGTTGTTAGCCACCAACAGTGTTGAGAATTGACCCAGGTTCTCTGCAAGAATGATAAGTGCTCTTAACTGAGCCACCTATCCAACTCACTCTACTTCTCGACAGGAGGACAACTCTCTTGGCTCTGTGAAAGGGAGACTATAACCCGGTCTCTGCGTGAGGACCACATTTTCTCCAGCTGGGGAGTTAGCAGGTGGCCTGTGTTCCCAGAAGCGATGAAAGGCATGGTTTGTGGAGAGCCTTCGAGAGTTCATCCTGGTGGTGACTACAGCATACGAGCTACACATTTCCCGCAAGAAGAGTCACATACATTGAGTGGCAAACCACACGTGCCGTAGGGGTGGGGGCTGGATGAGGGGAACACTGGTGGTCTGCCTGGGAAACATTTATTGAAATGTGAAACTGGACAATCCAATGACTTAACCCCAGAACACCAAGAATTAGCAATTTTGGGATTCCCTGGAACTGGTCTTACAGTTCCTATATAATTTATAGTCTTGTAATTTTCAAGAATTACATTTGGATATTTTCCACTATTTGCTGTTCCTTCTGAATTCAAACTATTTTTCAGTGACTTCATTAGAATGAGTTACAGAATGGTTGGTTATTTGGGGGCAGGATCTCACATGACATGTGACTAACCTCACATATATTATCTCTCTGCTATGAGCCTTAGTTTTCCCAATTGGGAAGTGGGGAGGTCATTCCCAAGCTTGCAGGGTAATGGAAGCACCCTAAAAGACCTGGGTAGGGGCTGGAGAGGTGACTCAGGAGGTTAAATGCAGGAGGTCTTTCAGAGGACCTGAGTTTAATTCCCAGTACCCACATCAGGTGTCTCACAACTGTAACTCCAGCTCCCGGGGATCCATGCCTCCTTCTGCAGATACCCACACACAGCATACATGCATACAGACATATACAGACAACAAACATATAAAAAGCAAAAACCCTTAGGTGGAGTCTCACAAGTGCTGGGTACCCAGAGTTCCTCAGCAAGGAGTCAGCGAGACTGGAACACTGTCATGCACGTAGTTTTGAGTTCTGGTTTTTAGATTCTCTCTCTCTCTTCTGTACAAATAAGAGTGGTGTAGCTTCGTCTTTCCTGGGACACTCTTGATTCAAACATAGTGACACAGATATTATCACAAGCATTGATTCCAGAGGCTACAAGGGCGACTAGCTTTCTACCAAGAGACAGGCCTCACATAGGCCTGTGACCCTCTCCAGCCCAGGTCTCTTGATGTGGGAATCTTTCTCATACTGGACTCGGGCTGGTTCAGCTACTCCCCGAGTCTGCATCCCTGATGTCTGTGTCCTGTCTTAGCCATCTCACTTCCTCCGTCACAGATATGATGCCTGCAATGGAGGAGGATGCAGGCCGCCAGGCCCTTTGAGTCAAAACAGTGGGACTTCCCCACCTTGGGCCCAGAACTCAGCTCACACAGCAGATGCCCAGGCAGTGCTTCTCTGCAGAGTTGAGTCATCTGTGGCCAGCTAGCATGTTCTGAGCATCAAGCAAGCCCACGCTAGACCATCTGGGAGCAAGACTCAAGCTTCCAGAGGTTTGGAGCTGAGCGTTTGTGAGAAGGGGAAAGGTCAAACCGCAGAGCTAGAGTGGTCTCTTGGGTCCTGGGGGTCAAGCACATTCCACAGTGAGGAGTCCCTTGATAAGAAAACCACAGAGAACAGGCCTTGGATCTGGTTCCTTGTCTCTGCCCAAGGCAAGGGGAGAGCAAGGGACTAATACTGTCTTCTATAAGGACATTGGAAATGACATGCTCAGAACTGAGATAGGACAAGCCTTAAGGGGCTGTGAGCTCTCTTGGGGGAGTCTTCCTCTGCCTAACTTTACCCGGAATGACAGGCACGCCAATTTGATCACATGCATTTAGCCCTCATAGCTCTGCAGATGGTTCCAGAATCCCTTTGGACTCTAAATTAGCCAGGATGGCATTTGTTCTTAAGTGGCTACGGTATAAAATGGAAAGCCTTAAAATAATTGGCATTTTAGAAATATGTGTTTTAGGCAAATGAGCTTTTTTCTAGATGTTTCTTCTATCGGGAAAGGGAACATTTATTCAATATTCCAGGCATTTTGCATATGTTGGATCTCCAATGTTCTAACCACCCCAAGGAGTAGCTGATATAGCTCCAGCTTATAGGCTAAGAAACTAAGGCTCAGAGAGATCCAAAGTCACACAGTGAGTAAGTAGTACTTTAAATTCAAGTCTGGTTCTAAGCTCAGATTCTTCTACTTAATAACATCCTATTTCCCCAATACACACCAGCACTGGCATATTCAAATAATCCTGGACTGGGATGTACACCAGACTTTTACAGAGTTGCCTAGTTCTATCCCCAGGACAGAGGGAAGAGGCCAAGGATGGAGGGGCCCTTGAGCTCTGTCCTAACAAGGGCTAATACAAGACAGGTTGCCCAGCCAAAACATGCCCAATTGATGGCATCTCCTTCTAATACGTAAATCTCAGAGTAAATCCTGCAAGTCTAGTCTTCACACAGACACCCCGAGGGGCAGAGTTAGCTCCTCTTGTGGGACTCATTGCTCTTCAGCCTGTCAGCTGGCTAAGCCATAGGGAAGCAATCCTTGGCCCAGCTGTACAGACATTCACCACCATCCTGTTCTTGCAAGAGCTCAACAAACTTGGCAAATGTCAGCAGCCAAACTGTGGACCAAACTGACGTGGCTTCTCCTTTTCAGAGAGAAAGAAATGACTGACTGATAGGGATTTGATGAGAAAATGGCGTTGGCCATAAGACTGGGCATGGAACCCATAGTCCAAGGTTTTGCTGGTGGGTGGCACCAAAGAGGGCCTCAGGACTGATTCTTCAGAGGAAACCTCATAAGACCTATCTGGACTTCAGGGTACCATTTGAGAAGGTAGGCATCCAGCTCCAGGTTTTCTTCTCGGAAGAGATGCCCCGCACTCTATCAGGATGGAATGACACTGTATATCATCAAGCCAGCATCAGCTGTAAGGGGCAGCCAAGCCCGTCCTCAGAGGAGGCTAAGATGATGTAGACTTTGCACAAGGCCTGCTGGTGACTTAAGGATGAGGAGTTGGGAGGGAGGGAAAGGTTGGGTAGGTGCAAGGCTGGGGGTATCTAGCCTCTATCCAAGAGGCTGGCAACTGAATCCTCACAACTCCATCCCTGATTGCCTCTCATGGACTCATAGTGAGAATGCCAGTGGTCTTTGAGCATGGGCACTGCGAGAAAACCAAACCCCAGAGAAATACAGTTACATACCCGCCATGCCACGATGACTTCTAAGAGCTCCCAGATTATCCCCAGCCACAACTGAAAGACACATTGGCCTGTGACTAACAAGTTGGAAGCTGTTCAAATGTACCAATTATACAACCATCATATGACCAAGGTTGGCCTGGGTATCAAGCACACCGAAACAAAGAGCAAAGCTCCAGAGGCAGGACCATTTCCAAGCCAATTCCATTCAGCCTGTCCCCAGGTATGGTGCTTCCCATGGTCACAACTTGTGGGCTGGTAACTCTGCCAGGCCCCATTTATCTGGTTCAGAGAGACCAGTCGACTACATATTAAGAGTTAAAGACCAAAGATTCTCCTTAAACCTTTGCCTTCCAAAACGGCAGTCTACAGAATGGGAAAAGATCTTCACCAAGTTCACCACACTGGACAGAGGGCTGATCTCCAAAATATACAAAGTACTCAAGAAATTGGTCATCAAAAGAACAAATAATCCAATAAAAAATGGAGTACAGACCTAAACAGAGAACTCTCAACAGATGAATCTAAAATGGCTGAAAGACACTTAAAGAAATGGTCAACATCCTTAGCCATCAGAGAAATGCAAATCAAAACAACTCTGAGATTCCATCTTACACCTGTAAGAATGGCCAAGATCAAAAACACTGAAGACACTTATGCTGGAGAGGATGTGGGGTAAAGAGAACACTTCTGCATTGCTGGTGGGAATGCAAGCTGGTACAGCCCCTTTGGATGTCAGTGTGGCGATTTCTCAGAAAGTTAGGAAACAACCTACCTCAAGACCCAGTAATACCACTTTTGGGTATATATCCAAAGGATGTTCAATCATGTCACAAGGATGTGTGCTCAGCTATGTTCATAGCAGCATTGTTTGTCATAGCCACAACCTGGAAACAACCTAAATGCCCCTTTACTGAAGAATGAATAAGGAAAATGTGGTACATTTACACAGTGGAGTACCACACAGAGGAAAAATATAATGATATCTTGAAATTTGATGGCAAATGGATAGATCTAGAAAACATCATATTGAGCAAGGTAACCCAGACCCAGAAAGACAAATATAATATGTACTCACTCATAAATGACTTTTAGACATAAAACAAACAAACAAACAAAAAGCCTACAATTCACAATCCCAGAGAACCTAGACAATAAAAAGGACCCTAAGAGAGACATATATGGATTTAATCTTCATGGGAAGTAGAAAAAGACAAGATCTCCTAAGTAAATTGGGAGCATGGGGATCATGGGAGAAGGTAGAAGGGGAGGGGAGAGGAAGGGAGAGGAGCAGAGAAAAATATATAGCTCAATAAAAACAATTATAAAAACCCCAGAAAACCATTGTCTTCTTCTCCCCCCACCCCAAAGACAGGGCTTCTCTGTGTAACAGCCATAGCTGTCCAGGAGCTAGCTCTTGTAGACCAGGCAAACCACTGTCTTCGTATTGATCTGCCCATGCTCAGTTTTCCCGGTCACAGAGCAGTCCTTCTTGCTCATGCCACTTTATAGTGCTCTTTGCTGCCAGCACCCTGGGCTCCTGCTAGTGCTGAACTCTTCCACGGTGAGTCTCATGTCATCTTGTGACATCTATGACTCATTTATACGTCACATTCATGCGGGTGTTTCCTCTACTGAAACAGAGGCCTACACACTGCAGGGACTTATCTCTGATTTATTGGTGCCTATGCTAAGAGCCTGAAAGTATCCAAACTGAGTTTAATAAACTCTTGTTGGGTAAATGAAGTTTCACTAACTAGCTTAGTGGGGGACCTTGTTTTAAAAACTGTCTGAAAGGCTGACAAGAAAGGCCTTGGGTGGGGGGCTCTGGGATAACACGATAGGGTTAAGCTTACTATTGACAAGGGTCCACCAGACCCCAGGCTCTACCTTCTGTTATCACCTAGAGGACAGAGAGGACTTCTTGAGGGTAAAGAAAATCAGACATGAAAAGAGGGCAGATCTTGACAAGCTCAGTTTTGAAGGTCCCAGGAAGCAGGAGAAAGGCTAGGCAGGGAGAAGCAAGGTGGTTCTGGCTAACCAGTAGAGTCCCTGCATGGCCTGTGCCCAGCGCCCTGACCACCTCCACCATCCCCGTCATCCCGCCGAGATCAAGGGTGGAAGTGATGTTCCCCACAGCAGGAAACAGCATCCTCGATAGGAAGTCTATCCCGAGACCTTGCTAATGGTGGTGACAAAAATGTCTGTCTCCACGTATACGGCTCTCTATGATGTGAACCAGGACCTCTTTACACTGGGGGTGGGGTGAGAACAGAGGACCAGACAGACAGACAGCTGGCCAAGGGGCTGACACTGGCCGGGATGCAGCTGTGTTGATATCTTTCCCCTGAGTTTTCAGTAGCAGTGGAAATCAGAAGTGTTTTTGTCTCTTTGTGTCGTTCCCTCCTGGTCTTTGGGGGAGCTTCATGCCCATGTGGGGAACCTGGGAGGGGGCTGGGTAATAAGATTTCATCTGTCTGTGGAGATTCTTTCTACACACTTCCCCCTACAGATGGTGCTAGGGGTGTCCACGGGAACAGAACCAGTTACAAAACAAGGGGCAACTTGGAACCCTTTGCTAAGACGATAGCATGAAGCTGGATGTGCATCAGCTCAACAACCCAGGAGCCAAACAGGAGTCCGACAGATGGGACACCCAGCCTGCACCCTGGCCTCAGCAGGAGCCAGGCCAGCAGACTACGTTCAGCAGAGCACACTTTGGCTTGGGACTCACTCATTCTGGAGACTAGAATGTGCCACAGAGCCAAACTCATTCTTGTTCACAGAACACTTCACTATCCACTAAATCACAGTTCATTCCGGCCTCTCTTCTGCCAAGCTAACTCCTGTACTGCTTTTGAGAACACAGGGTGTTCTCTTCAGGAGCTCACATTCCTGAACACACTGACCGTGCTGTGTGCCGCTGTCACTCTCTGTCCAGCCTTACACATGTCATCTCAGAGCCAGGTGACACCAGACATTCTGTCCTCTCTTTTCATGCCAGGCCTGCCTTATACATGCCGATCACTTCCTACCACACCCTAGCTCTCCATTCAGGAAAGTAGTCACGTGAAATCGTCCACACAGGTCTCCCATTACTGCCTCTGAACCCTCTGCAGGCTTCTCTCTGTTCTTGCAATCTTCTCCATTCTACGGCTCACAAAATTCATGAATAGTACCGTATTAAGTTTACTGTGTGAAATTGCCATGTACTTAGGCCAGGCATGCCCAATTTCACAGCTCTACATATTAAATATGTGATTATTCTTATGACGGGGTGCTGTTTCTGTCCGAACTGTAGTAAGGGGTCCAAAGCTTCCCCTTTATTTTCTCAGTACTTGGGCAGGGCTCAGCATCCAGGTCCCAGATGGATACTTTCTGTGTGAGCGTGACATTGGTAGCGCAGGCTCAAGCCGTTCTGCTAGATGCATGCACTAACACAAAGCCTAAACCGGACTGGGGACTGCTGTACAATATCTAACAAACTTTCATCCCGGGCAAGCCCATCTCCAGATGTTTGGCTGTGCTGGCCAAATGGAGCCTGAGAACATCTCAGAACAGGCAGGGGGTGGAGGCGGGGGTGATTCCGGGATGACTACCTTTCTGGCAGGAGAGACAGAGTCGGCAGCTGGTGGAGAGGAAGGAGCAGCTGGATCAGGAGATGGAAGACCAGAGGGAGGAGATGGAGGATGAGCGTGAGGCAGACGTTTAGACAGGAGTTTATCCTGCATGGAACAGAGACAGCAAAGAAAGCAGGATTATAGCTGTGGCAGGGGGAGCGATCTTGCCTTTAACATACCCATGGAGGAGCAGACGCTGAGGGCCACGTCTCAGGATGACACAGGAGTGTGTCTTTGGAGCCAAGTGGGATTATGTGGCTCCCAGCTGCACTGTGTCTCCTCCAGCTCCAGCTCCATGAAAAACCCCGGGGAGACCCATTCTGCTCCTGCCTAGAGTTGCCCCAGACTGCAGTGCTCACGAGAATCCACCATACAAGAGTCTGGTATGAGGGTGCAGCTGCAGGCTTAGGAGGGGAGAAGCCTGAGCCAATGGGGGTAGCTCGCCACAGCTGGGGCTTCAGCAGCTGGAGGCACACACTTGCCTTTTGGAGATTACTAGGACCCTAGCAATATCCTTCCTTCTGTGCGTGGCTCCACTGATAGCTGGAGACACAGGAGGGGGCTGAGTGACGGTGGCTAAGATGTGTTCTAGAGACAGCTTGCTGAAGGAGGAGGATGTCACGAGAATACCCCTACCCCACCTCCCTGGCTTCACTATTACTCAGTTCCTGTTCTGTGAACACCAGCTCCTCTTTTCCTACCAGTTTCTAAGTAAGCAGGTGGCCTGGAGGAAGCTGTACTTCCCATGCTAAGGTAAAGTTTCTTGCATTAGCTTAGCACTGCTGCTTTGAGAGACAGCTGAAGCTGGGAGCTGTGGTCCCTGTGCACCTCAGGATAACTATAAATGTGACCCAGCACATCACAGCCCGAAGTCAAAAGATTGGACACTCTTGACTAGGGTTGTTTCGTTTGATTTAATGTTACTTTGTATGGACTCAGGGTCTCACTGCGTAGCCCTGGCTGTCCTGGAACTCACTATTAGACCAGACTGGCCTCAAGCTCCCAAGGATCCACTGGCCTCTGCCTCTGCAATGCTGGTATTCAAGGCTTGCGCCACCACACTCAGCCCAACTAGAGTCCTAAAGTCCCCGTTTTTGCTGGGTGGGGGTTTCTTTTCACTTGAGCTTACTCTCCTGCCTCCATTCCCCTCGTCATAATGTGTCTTCTGTCTCAAAACTATGCATCTGCGTCTATTAGATGCAAGCTCAAATTTATCAATGGCGTAAAAAGGAAATCGCTTCTTGTACTATAGAAAAGGAAGGAGAGAAGTGAGCTTCTGGAGCTGGTTCATGGCTACCTGGCTAGACATCCAGCCCTGGTTCCCGAGCACTGCGAAAGCCCCTGGTTTACCTGTGGGAAATCCCCGTGTCCAAACATGGAGGCCAGGTGAGCTGCCTTCTCCTTAATGTTCTTTTTGTGAAATTCCCTGTTAGCCAAGTTCTGGGCCCTCTTCTGCAGTCAAGGTGAGAAAGGAGAAAGATGGCAACAGTGGCCATGAGGGTCACCTCCAAGGGAGAGAGGAAGGAATGAGCCAGGCTTGTCTCCTCAGACACAGCAGACAGAAGATAGGAAAGGAAGCAGAGGAAAAGGGACCTGCTCTGGGTGGGTGAGGAACAGGTAGGATGGGACACGGACACAGGTAGGCAGAGGGGGTGGTCACCTGAAGAACCTTTTCTTCTACTTGCTGCAGCCGCCGCAGCACCCCAGACAGGGCCAGTGCCCCTTGGCAGGTGGGAGGCAGAGTGGCGAGATTTTCAGCCCCACCCAGTTGCAGGTCTGACTTGGCCCTGGCTCTCCAGGGTCTGCTTGGGCACTCGCCACTAGCAGGTACTTGATTGAGTTCTCTGAGCACCTGTCCTGTAGCCACCACGGAGGAGAACTGGGAGAGAGGGGGAAGTCAGCTTCCTTCCCTTTATAGGCCCCACCCCCCAGGAAGAACCCCCCACGAGGACCAGAGATAGAGGGTACAGCAGCAGGTGGCACTTTGAGAACGGTCACAGACTAGCCCGGGTGAAGGAGGAACCTGTATTGGTACCCTTAGCACTCAAACAACAGTACTCAGCCCTGGGTCTCGCCTAAGACATCCAAACCTCTACAGCCCTGGTTCCCATGCATATCTCTGTTCTGAGATTGCCTAGGATACCTCAAGGAAGGCGGGACCCATCCCATTAGGGGCTGTGATTGACCTGGGTATGCAGGAGACCTCGTCATGAGAATGGTCTGCACATGGACACACGGTTGCTGTGTCAGCCCTGCACCTACCGCTCTCCACCTCTGGTACCCAGTATACAACAAACAGCCAGTGCTGACCAGATGACCCTGGAATCTGTGGGTGCTTATCCTGACTCTGTCCAGATTCTAAGGCCAGTCTCTCCATGCAGGCTCTGGCTGCTCAGACATCTGGAAAGGCCTTTACCATGCCCCAGCCTTACTCTTTCTGTGGGGGGAGCCATAAGGCATCCCCAGCCTTACTCTTTCTGTGGGGGGGAGCCATAAGGCATCCCCAGCCCATTCCACTGTTGCTTTCTCCATAATTTGGAAATCAGTTTATTCGCTAGCCCCTCTGTACTAAAGCATCGCATGGGAATTCTCCAAAGTGGCCACCTGGAGCTGTTTACTCTCCCCCTAGCAACAGCATCAAGGGTGTGTTGTTGTGCATGGTTGGCTGGGTAACACCTGTGGTGGGCTGAGGGCCCAGTGGCATACACGTACATCAGGTGCCACCTATGGAGCTGTTCTTATCCATAAGGATAGTAACCTTGAACTGTGTCTTCATGCACAGGGATTCTACAACCAGCCACATATGGGGGCTGGAGGGAGCCATGCATCCCACCCCTTGGCTCCAAGTCCCCTCCTTCAAGCGTTACCAAAACAGTATCCACTGGAAAGAGCCCTACCTGCCTTTTCAGAGGAGGTGGAAGCCTGGGAGTGGAGTCCTCCAGCTTGGGGCAGTGAGGGGTAGCAGGAGGGCGAGAGGCAGAGCATAAGACAGGCTTACCTATGCCCGAGACCCGGTGGCAGTCCTGGGAGGGAAAAGGCCGTCCACAGAAGCAGCCCAAGGAGACAGGAAAGAAAAGGCGAGTGAGAAAAGGCACGCGGATTTAGAAGGGAGATACAAGGAATAGGAGACGCCGCTGTGTGGAGGAGCAGAGATGCGGCTGGCTGGGTTCCTGCAAGCCCGGCCCAGCTTGGAAACTGGATCCCTGGCTCTACAAGCATGTGGACGGGCAAGTTCTGTAGCTCCCTGCTCTGGGACAACGTGTCAATCCCACAGGCCTTGCTCTTTGGCTCAAACACAGGGCTCTGGGCCATCAGTGCCAGCCTACACCAGGCTAGGGTGGCCAGCACAGTCCTCCTGGAAACAGAGAGCTTCTTGCCAATGCCAGAACAGGGATGTCCAGGTCAAATGAACAGAGTCAGGCCTCGGGGAGGGACCATTGAAACTATGCTTAGACAAAGACAGGACTCAAGAAAATTGCCCTTTCGTTTCAAATCCACTTCCTTGAGAAGATTAGTTGTCCAGGAGAGCTGTGGCTAGCCCCAAGACCAAGGAGCCATTCACGTGTGCCTCTAAAGTTAACCAGGGGAGAGACTGTCCAGCTCTGTCATGGGACCACTGTCCACGATAAACAAAGGGAATCTTACCCCCAGAGTCTTATATCATGACAACATATTGTAACTTTACAGTATACATCCAAAGGCAAGAGAACAGAGGAACCAGGCTAAGAACACAGCCTTGAAATGAGGCATGACGGCATGAACCACAGCAGCAAGCCTGCCCTGGTCAAACACAGCGACCCTGTAGAGCCTGTTGGGGTATGGGGAGGACAGAGGCACCAGGGCATGCTGAGGAAGTTGGCCAAGTCCTTGCATCTCTGATCAGGGTATGCCATCTCACAAGGGACTTAGGCAGTATTCTCCTACAGGCCTCTCGACTTGAGCTGCTCTCTCTTACACTGGCTAAAATCATGGTTTGAGGGCAAAAGTGATTTAGGAAATGGATTTAATTAATTGAGAGATGGGCACCAGCAAACTGCGACTCCCAGGCCGCACACTGGAATGCTAGCACCCCCTACTTGTAAGGGATCCAGTATGAAGGCCTAAATGTTCTAACAGAACCCCATGGAAAAGTCTGTTATTTCACAACCAGGAGGCTGAAGTCTTTCCCCCCCATTTGGCCACACCCAGGAGGTGAACTCTAACCCATCTCTAGCCAGCTGGGTTCTGCTACCAGCAGGATATGTCCAGTGACCATATAAAGCATTACCTGTTTCTGGGCTGCAGGGTTCCGTGTGTTCTCCTCAAACTTGGCCAGCAGCTGATTGGCCATGGACTTGACTTTGTTCTGATTGCTGCCTTCTCTAGCACACTCTTGACTGGAGCCCAAGCTACGGCTGGAGAAAGCTGGCAGCTGCAAAGGTAAAAACAGCACATGGGAATCCAGGGATTGTCAGGACATAGGGCCCCTCAGTGGGTTGTGGGAGCGAGGGCAGACAGCAGGGGTGTCCTCTGGAACTGATGCTCACTGCCCAATGCATGTGTCTAAAGGATGAACGTATTGGCTTGGGAACCCGGCAGTTAGAGTTTGAATTCTTTCTCCCTACCGGTCCTGAACCCAGGCAATGTATGTCTCTGAATTTGCCCCATCTACAAAATGGAAGGAGTGTCCCACTTCAAACGGTTATAGCAAAAGAAAAAAAATCAGTTCAAATAGAGAAGTGTTACATAAAATAATTTCCAAAATACATCATTTCGTCTGAGAAGTGGAGAGAGAGAGTGGCAAGGGAAGGTAGTCGGACTATGGTGAGCACAGGCTTTTGGCTTTTTGCTCCTCTCCTCTGCACTCCCTTTCCCAACTTCGCCCACAACTTTAATCTTTAAAGAAAAAATAATTCAGAGATAACTTTAGATTTACACAGACGGTACAAAGAAGTACAGCCTGCTCCCGAGGACGCCTCCTCCAGCCACCTTTGATGTAGCTTCATGAATAATCGCAGCACTGTTATCAGAGCCAGGGAACGGACACTGGCATAATACTCTCAACTGGACCATGGGCTGTGTTTGGACTGCATCAGTTTTTCCATTCCCACCCATCTTCTGTTCCAGGCTCCAATCCAGGATCCCACACATTGAGTCATCTTGTCTCCTTAGTCTCCTCCAATCTCTGGCAATTTCGCTATCTTCCTTGGCTCTGACACTTCTGAAGGGCACTTGGCAGCCATCGTATAAAAAGATCTCAATCTGTGTTGGTCCGAGGTGCTCTCACAATTAGCCTGGGACTGGAGGTTCTGGGGATTCATGGCACAGGGATGAAGGGCCCTTCGCATCCATCCTGTTGGGATGCGTGATGGTGAGAAGCTTGGTTACGATGGCTTACAAACCTGAGCTCCATCTCACTCGTCGACTAACTAATACGATTTGAAAATGTCTAGTACTTCTTAGTATGTATTTCCTGTTCCATGCATCTTTTCCCACACACCTCAGAGCATACAGAAGGGTACTGTGCCAAGTGGATGGTCAGGTCCCCGAAGGAGACAATGAGTCTCTCCACAGGAACAGCATTCTTGAGAGGGTAAAGATGTGTTCATTCAGAGAAGATGCCTGGGAAGACTGTTTTTAAAAATAAGATCCCAAAGAGAGGAGCCTGAGGAAGGGGTCGTGTATGCACAGCACAGTCAAGTTCTGGACAAACGCAAAACGGAGAGCCACTCCCTGCTTTAGGGTACGAAATGTGTCTTGCACACATACCATGCATGATCAAGAGGGAGGGAGGGTGAAGTCTACTGAGTGAACACTGCACAAATCAAAGTCGGCGACAACAGTGGGCTACACAGCCACCGGTGCACCGATTCATTGAGCCAGGGCACCGGAGTTTGCATTATTTTTCATTTTTAAAACTGTGTGTGTGTGTATACCTCTGAAGGTCAGAAGAGAGCATTGGATTCCCTGGAGGTGTAGTTTTAGGCAGTTGAGAGCTACTTGATGTGGGTGCTGGGAACTGAATTTGGATCCTCTGGAAGAGCAGTGAGCTTTCTTAACTGCTCAGGCATTTCTCCAGCCCCGCTGAAGCCACAGTTCTTGGCAGGATTGCCCCAAAAGTTCTGGAAACACTTCAGATGAGGGTAGCGAGCATGTTTACACTGCACAATGTGAACTGAACTCCAGATTTCCTTTGATCAGAGAATGAGGTAAGTGGTGGGCAGCCACACTCTATCAGGGTGGGCTTCTGGCTTGATTGGCAGCTCACTGATGGGAGATAGAACAAGTCTGAGGCATGACTGATGTTTTACAAAATATAACAATAAAGTCTCACACAGAGGAGGCAAGTAAGTCTCTTCTAAGTCCTGGGAATCAAGCATCGATGTAGTTTGTAAATCACCCCACATGCCTCTGAGTCAGCTACGGTATCAGCCAGTAGCTCAGCTAAAGCTGCTGCCCACACCTCATGGGCATAGGTGTGCTTGCTTTTAAAGAATTAGGATGGCTTTGAAAAATGAAGTACAGGACTGGCGAGATGGCTTAGCAGGTAAAGTGATTGGCATACAAAATATGAAGACCTGAACCTAGGTCTCCCCAATACCCCCAAAAGCTAGGCACAGTGGCACATGTCTATAGCCCTGGCAGTGGGAAGTGGGGGCAGGCTGATCCCTGGGGTTCATTGGCCATCCAGTCAAGTTTAACAGATGAACTATCACTTCAGAGTGAGACCCTGTCTCAAAATAGTAAGGTGGATGCTGGGTGGTGGTGGTGCACATCTTTAATCCCAGCGTTTGGGAGGCAGAGGCAGGTGGATCTCTGAGAGTTTGAGGCCAGCCTGGTCTACAAAGTGAGTTCCAGGATATTTAGGATTGCTATACTGAGAAGCCCTGTTTTTTTTTTTTTTAAAAAAAAAAAAAAGTAAGTGAAGAGCAAACAAGGAAGACGCTCGACAGCATCTCTGACCTCCACACGCATACAAGGCGCATGATCACCCTCCAACATATACACACATGCACATCTCGTATCTCTTTAGATTATTTCATTAAGGTAGAACTCATACCCTCCTGCCCTTTTCAGAGGCAGGCTCTATCTAGACTTCAACACCGTCTCCTACAGTTTTCTCCTTTCGCCAGATGGTGGCACTCGTGGGCACCCAACATTTGTCTTAAAGGCTTTAGAGGGAAGCCGCAAAAAGTGCAGAGAGCTTGTCAGCTGGTGTCTCTTTCCTACTTACTATGATTAGCAACTCAATATTAATTAACTATGTTATGTGTGCTGTCTTATTAATCTAAAAACCTTTCAAAGTCTTAAACATTTTGGAGGTGTCAGCACATTTGACAGCCATGGCCCTTACACCGGGGAGGTTTCATCCTGCAAGTTACGCAGCTAGGAAGTAGTAAAGTGATCAAACTGAGCCTGGATCCCAGTGGTTCATGAGAGAAAAAACAAACAAAATGGGAACAGGGCTAGTGATATAGCAAGCAAGCACACCCGGAGCCACTGGCCCTTAGGATGCGGGCCTTTGTATCAGCCGAGCCCAGGCACACTCACCTCTTCCAGGCTGTTGACGCCCTGACGCCTCCTCTTGTTCATGTCACTCTCCTCGGTCTGGGTGTCTACCTGCAATGGCCAAGAAAACATGGTGAGCTCAGGGCCACGAATGCTGTTTGAACCGGAAGCACGGAAGGACGCATGCTCGTCTGGACACAGCTGTCAGTCTAATGGTAGACAAGGGGAAAGATGGCTCCTCATGTAAGCACAGCCATGGAGTTACAGTCAGGCATAATGAAGAGTGCCTCTATTCTATTTCGGAATCCCTGAGATACAAGCAGGGGAGGCATCATCTCTATTACAGTGGCTGTGGGCTTGGGGGAGGTTTAATTATGTCCCCGAAGTCAGAGCCAGGCCCGGGGAATGCCCTCAGTGCTTGTTGCTGTGTGGGAACTCCCTGACTTTCTTTGTTCCCTGGGCCTCCCGTGAAGAGGTAGGACAAGTTCACCCTGCAGAGAGCATTCTCAGGACTTGAGTGAGCTGTCCAGGGCTTTGGTGTCAAATTAAGCCTGCAATTCAGCCACCATTAAATGATTTAATTCGTTTCAATAAACATTAGCTCCAACCTGAGGACTAGAGATCAAATGTCCAGCTTGTCAAGGACGGTTCAGATTTATTGACTCCCTTCGCCACTGTAACTATTAATAGACACGTTCCCTTTCATAGTGTATTACCCAGCTATCCTGGTAACCCCTCACAGCTCACCCCTGCTGCCTGAATCTGAATAACCCAGCCCAGGCCTGTCAGGTGAGGAGGAGTGTAAGGTCTGAGCTGTCCCCGTGGCCTGGGTGGGGTGGAGGCTGAGTACTGTTCCTTCTCCACATGCATCTTTGAACCCAGATTGCATCTGTTCCCTAAGGACAGACATCATAACTACCAGCTTCCAGTGATTTGGACCTTCTCCCAACAGTTAGCTCCTGCTGGAGTCTGGGGTCACATCCCACAGAGTATATGTCACATCTGTATGGATTTTCCTACACTCTGACTTCCTCCACGGCAGGTCCACATCACACCCAGCCTTTCAGACACCATAAATGCAGGAAGAGGTACCACAGGCTCACTGTAAGCCCAAATACAACGCCCGTTCAGGCCCAAGCATAGTTCGCCTGGCCCTAGAACGATCCTTCTGGGCTTGGATACTCTGAAATAGAAGCCTGGGAACCCTAGCACCGAGTCTACTGTGCGTCATGTGAGTCCAATAAACACCCTCATTACACACCACATCACAACACACACTATACACATCACACACCACACACACACCACATCACAACACACACACACTACATACATCACACACCGTACACACACACACCACACATCACACACACACATCACACACGCACCACATCACAGACACATACCACACACCACATCACACACCACGCACAACATCACACACACACACCACGTATACACCACACACACACATACACACATGCCTGCCATATTCACCACTCCCATTAAAAGAAAAACCAACCACAGTTTAGTCATGGATATCTGTTCAAAATCTGACCAAGGCACCGTAGCCTAGCAGATCAAGGGCCCTGCCTCCCTCAGCAGCTCCTTCAGCTTCTCATAAATCATTATTCTGTGAATGAAAATAACCCCGGTCTAACGCCTGGACAAACACCAAGAGAAACAGATGACCTGGTTTCCAACAATGCTGGGTTTTAGAGGCACAAACTGTTTGGGCTCCCAGCTCCACTGCCTGTGAATGCCACTTAGGCCCAGAGACCAGAACTGTGAAGTACAGAATGTCCCACCAAAAAGAATGCTTCCTGCATAATCTTAGGGTTCTCTTTGTATGCTTCCACTTTCAAGGAGGACTTGGCTTTTTTCACAAAGACTAATACATCCTTTTCTCTCCCTTATACTTGAAAGCCCAGGGTGGGACCATTCAAACAACTGGAGCCTGGCTAGACCCCATTTGGACATGTGACCTAAGGGCTCACAGAACGCAGTCCAGGGTGGTGGGCCCAGCCAGCATCTCCTAAGAAGTTCCTAAGTCCTCATGGGAGAATAAATGAAGGACAAGGGGGCAACCTTTGTTTCTTAGACACCTCCACTGTGAAGGACCTGGGACATAAAATGCATCTACAGGGAAAGGTTAGCAGTGCACATACATCCAAACAATGTTTACTTTCCCCTATGGAAAAGTGCTATTGAGATGCAGTTCAAAACAAAAGCCTACGAAAATGAAAATGTAGAGATTTGTTTATTTTTCTCACTGGAAGCCAAAAATCGACTCAAGACCTCTAACCCAGAGCCATTTTCTTCAATGGCATAACGACTAGTAAGTTGTTACACTCCAGTAAATAATCTCCACCTATGCTCATATAACTGAACATAATTAAAGTCAGTGGGACGTGGCCACGGACACACACACACACACACACACACACACACACACAAAGCCAGAGGGGGACTGGTAGGGAGAAGAGGGGCTTCTATGGGGGTCGGGGTGTGTTGGGATGGATATGGTAAAAATATATTGCATACATGTATGAGATTGGTAAAAAAAAAATAAATAAAATGCATTTTACAAAAAGACCCTAATCACTCTGAACTTTGTTATACTTGACAAAGAACCAGAAGCATCACAAAAAACCAAATATTTCTCATGGCCACGCAGAGAGACCAGGAGAATAAACAAATGACTTACGTTCTCTTCCTATCAGCTTTCCAGTTCTTTTACCCCAGGAACATTTTCTTATCATGATTTTCCGAGGATTTGAAAGAGTTGATATGCCAAAATCCATTTATTAAACTAAATGGTTTCACTCTTTAAAAAAACAACCAATGCCACACATCCGCTGCTCTGCCTATTAATCTGACCAGCTGAGGACAGCCATGTCTCCACACATCCTGAGTGGCTTTGGCTCAAGGCAGACAACATTTTTTTTTTATTTTTTTATTTTTGAGACAAGGTTTCTCCGTAGCTTTTGTTTCCTGTCCTGGAACTAGCTCTTGTAGACCAGGCTGGCCTCGAACTCACAAGAGATCCGCCTGCCTCTGCCTCCTGAGTGCTGGGATTAAAGGCGTGGGCCACCACCGCCCGGCCAAGGCAGACAACATTTATATTTAGTTATCTGGCTTAGCCCAACCATGGAGGAATTTAGATCTGGTTGACTTGGATATCAGCTTTGATATTTAAAAAGATGACCAGTGATACTAGCAAGAAAGTTCTCTCTTCAAGGAATCACAGGTTCAGGTGCTAGTGTGTGGCTAGTGTCGTTCAGAAAATCACCTAACCACCTGACTTCAGTGTCCTCACCTATAGGAAAGAGTCTGACACCATCTACTCATAAGCTTCTGCGAGGCTGATGGAATCACAGAATATAAAACACTTCTTAAACTACACATTGCTATATAGTGTCAATGCTATTAGTGACAGAATTTTAAAATCCAAATTCTAGTTCTTACTTTGACAATACCTGTCTAACTTACTAAAATTTAACAGCGCCAAGTCCAAGTTTCCCTACTCACTACACTGTAAGGACACTATGTTCCCACCCTTCCTCCAAAGGATATACGCATGGGCGGGTGAATGTATTGTCTCAGAAGGAATGAGCTCAAGATGAGATGAACTCCAGGTACCCCCATGTGCGAATAATTGAACAAGGACAATGACGGACTGCAGTGTTCATAATAATATAATTCATTGCCCAGGAGCGTAAAGTCTAGGAGAGCCCGAGGGAGCACGGATTAGAGTATGCACAGATCTGTATGACTACAGAAAGGCAAGAGGCTGAAAAATGTGGGTTCAGATGGCACTGACTTGCATGGTGAAAATAATTTAAGAACTTTCATCCTGTACCAAGAAGTGTTTGGGTTCTGACCAGAGTCACAGGCAGACTGCAGAAGCGCACCAAAGGCTGCTAAAGAGAACACAACCCCAGTCTTTCACTACCAGGCAAGCACCACCCAGTCTTTATTATTGAGTGAAGAGCTCGCCTGCAAAGCAGGCATGGTCCCTAGTGGAAAAACCAACTTCAAGCAAAATAGAAGGCGTTATGTCTTGCTGAGATTTGAATGTTGTCAGTAATATAAGAGGACAGGACAAAGAACAAAATTTTAGGATTCAAATCAAAGGGAGAGAGATTGTTAGGACTGGCTCAGCAGGGGACAGTGACATCTCTGAAGAACAAGATGTAGCGCTGTGGAGGGATTGGACAGGTGGACATGTTAAGCTCTTTCTCTGGAAGCTGGAGAAACATCATAGGATGATAGTAAGGAGTGATGGATACAGACTCCTCTATCAAGGTTGCAGGCGTTGTTTGGGCAGGGGGCTATGGGACAGAATGGTCCAGGCATCATCTCTCCTAAATGTATATTCCCTAAGATGCACATGCTCCCCTGCAGGCAGGGAGCATGTCTGATTCTACCAATCTCTGTGTGGCAGAGCCACCACAGATAGATAAAGATTTGTGTATGGTTCTCAGCATCTTGTGTGGAACCGAGCTCAGTCATCTGTCTCCCAGCATGTGCCATCACTGCATACACAACAAAAACCATTTTGATCAATAAGTTCAGGGCAGGGGGCAAAGCAATGACGTATGATCAGCATTGTGTGCCCTTGGGCAAGTCGCCTGGCCTCTCTGGGCCCTGGCTTATGTCTGTAACTGTGAACCTATCAGGCAAAGACAGTCTGTCTCCCATTGAGATGCAAGATGGCTGAAATAAAGGGTATCCTATTTTCAGCTTCTCTGGCTCACACTGGATGAAGTGAATCGTCCTACACCACATGTTAAATTCAGAGGTGTTCAACCTGTGGCTTGTAGGTTGTGAGAACACACACATGCTTATTTTGTGTAAATGACAATGTTGTCATTTACAAAGTTCATGCTTGAGACATGCATAACTGAGTTCCAAAAAAAATTGCCAGAAAAGTCTTATCAGCTAAGTATCATAGAAAAATATTGATTGTTTTGACTTAGCTTCTTAGGGGACAGAAAACAGGCAATTATTTTTCATAATCTGTGAGTATTGTGAAAAAGTCACAAACAATAAGGGTTCTATGATTCCTGAAAGTTCTATATTCTCACTATGCCCTGGGTTTGTGCTGAGTAATGTTTGCCAGTCTGGCACAAACTACAGTCACCAAGGAAGAGGGAACTGCAACCCATGAGATCGTTCTAAAGTAGAAAATCTGTGGGGCATCTTCTTGACTGACCATTGATGTAGGAGGGCCCAGCCCACTGGGGGTGGTACCACCCCAGAGCAAGTGGTTCTGGGTTGTAGAAGAAAGCAGGGCCGCCATGGAGAGTGAGCATTCCTCCGTGGCCTCTTCTTCAGTTCTCACCGCTAGATTCCTGCCCTGAGCTGCTGCTCTGGGTACCTTTGATCATGGTCTGAGACACGGAAGTGCAAGCCAAACGAACCGTCTCCTCCCCCAAGTTGGTCTGGTCTGCATTTTATCACAACAACAAAGAAGCAAGCTTGGATGGGACTTGAAGCCAAGAACCCCACTTCTGTGCAATCAATCACTCCTATCGTCAAAACAACTAAAAGTCACAGCCTTAAAGTTAGTGGGGCACGATGACCAATGGATGGATGGATGGATGGATGGATGGATAGATAGATGGATGGATAGATGGATAGATGGATGGATAGAAGGATGAATGGATGGATGGATGGATAGAAGGATGAATGGATGGATAGATAGATGGATATATAGATGGATGGATAGATGGATGGATAGAAGGATGAATGGATGGATGGATGGATGGATGGATAGAAGGATGAATGGATGGATAGATAGATGGATATATAGATGGATGGATAGACGGATGGATGGATGGATGGATGGATAGATGGATGGATGGATAGATGATAGATGGATATATAGATGGATGGATAGATGGATGGATGGATAGATAGATAGATAGATAGATAGATGGATGGATAGATGGATGGATGGATGGAGATGCGAGACTGTAGACTACTACCATAACCTTGCCCCTTGACCGACATCTGTCATACCCCTGGATCTGAATGACATGAGAAATGAGCTTGCTTTGCCTCTCCAGGAGCAGAGCTAACTTGGGTGCACTCTAAAAATATGCACACTCTGAGCTACCTGCTCATCTTCTGAGTCTCGAGCTACATAATCTGTCAACATAAACAAACCCAGCCATGAAATTCTCCTTTCTCTTCCCCCATCACCTGCAGTGAGGAAGAAACGAAAGACTCGCTGGAAACTTACCCGTGGGGTCCTCTTCCTGGGAAATGTGAGGTTGAGATAGTTATTAGGAATGAATGATTTGCCCAAGTCGAAGTCAGTATTTTCTTTATAGTTTTTACGCCAGGAATCTGTTGAGAAGCAAAAGCAACACTGCAATTGGGATCCAGGGCCCAGGTAGTGATGTTGTAACCTGTGGGTGTCCTCGTATCAGGACTCTTCTAGAATAAATCCCTCACCCCAACTTTTATAAAGCCTTAAATGACTGAGGGGTATGGAAGGCCATTGCATGTCTTCAAGGATAGTCAACCTTGTTTGGCCTCTGAGTTGAGGGAAAGGTGTCTTGAAGCTCTGAGTAGAAAGTACTAGCCAGACTCAGGCAGGGGGATAGAGATGACACTAGAGACTAGACACAGCCTCCATGCTTACCCATGGGTCTCAGTGGAGTGCCCCGGAAGAGCTCATAGAACTTGGAGAGGTACATGACCATGCTGAGCTTGTCGGGCTCCTCAGTAGACGCCATCTCTTTGCCTGTAGTCATAGGCAGGATCCCAAACTCGCGCTTGGCCACATCAAATGCCAGCTGATTGTTCTCCACAGCGTCATCTTCATTCAGTGAGTCAAAGTTGCTGGAGGACCAATACCAGGTGAGTTCAGGGTGAGACAGGATGCATGGAGCCCAGAATGAACACTGTGGGCTGATAATTTTCCAGCCCCATTGAGCCCCAACCTCAAGCCCAGGAACACGCCTTGCTCATGAAGAGACTGAATCAAACACAGACCATGATTATACCACATGATTATAGCTAGGCTGAAACCCTCAGAAAATGATGTACTCTCTTTGAAAATGTAGGAGTTACTTTAATTATTTCTCATTCTTTTTTTTTAAATCTTAACTGTTATTATAACAGGATCTTTTCTCAAACCAATCAATTATATGTATCATGTGGAGAGATTCCCATCTCCTCGGGGTGAGATGATTTTGGTAGTTTTCCATTAGCCTTTAGGAAGGGTTTGTACGTGGGTGGAGTCTGTACTGCGTCCCGTGTCAATAGGTCAGTAGAGGTCATGAAGGGTTTATAGACTGTCCTCTCGCCTTCCTATTGACCCTGCCATTTTGCCAACACACAAGGAAGCTTTAGAAGATTCTAGAAATGATCTGATGATTCTGGATGTCAAAACAATACTTCTTTGGTTAAGCAGGTCTCTCTTCTACTTCCTCTCATGGGGGGGGGCTTTGAGGCCTACACTGAATTTCCAAAAGGTGGCTATTAGAGTTGGGGGCCAAGCAGTGAGATATGATGACTTATGATGACTGATCTTATGATGACTGTCAGATCCCAGGGACACGGGGCAAACATGTTGCTGTCCAAACAAGGGAAAAGCAAGTTTTAGAAAATAACCCAATCAGAACTTGCAGAGAGAAACACTGAGCCAGGTTGGGGGTCTTCACCCAGAGAAGGCTGGGGTCCCCTCTGTCCAGGGTCTGCACTCACATCAGCTCTGGCCGGAAGCGGTGGATGATGGCACACAGGGCCAGGCCACTGCGCCAGGATGTGGTCAGGTCGGTGACACGGACGCGTTGGTAACCCTCAGTCTGCTGCTGACACCAGGTTAAGAGCTTGTTAGGCCGGATGTCTGACTCTGTGGGGAGGGGGCAGGTGGTGAGACTCTGTACTGCCGACAGGGCTGGGAACTAGGAAGAGTGACGGCAGAGATGCAACCCTGACGGCCACTGCACAGGTCAACAGGAAGCACACTGTCTAACAGCACTGTCACCAGGGTCCAGGGCTGGAGGCTGGGAACACAGACCCTGCATCTATTAGGTGACGCTAATGACACGGGGCTGTCATGGACAGAGGTGCTCTTGACCAGGTTTGTTGCAAGTCGGCCTAGGAAGCACTCTCTAAAGAAAGTCTCTGTGGATGTGCATGTGAGCTGGCTACTGAAGAATGTCTAGGAATTCATCAGACAGAGGTATTCCAGGAAAACAGGATGGAGAGACAGCAAAGAATGCGGAGAGCGTGCCATGCTTGGGTAACAATAAAAGTTTACTATTGTAAACAGTGTTTTACAGCAGCTGGGCATGTGGTATGTGCAGGGATGGGAGGGGGGAGATGGACACAGTGGCAGCTGGAGTGTCTCTGGGTAGGAGAGCAGGGAGCCTGAATGAAGGGCTGTTGGGGAGTTACTCATTGGACTATCCCTCCCCTGCTTCTGAACACCACTCTGTGCCAGCGCTGAGTCAGATTAGGAAGATAAGGAGAAGGAAGGGGGAAAAGTCCCAGGAATCTGGTGACTAGCTGCTAGGGAGACAGGACACTTTTCCCAGAAACAAGATGCAAAGAAAACCTAGCCCCGTGGAACTCCCTACAGCGGACTTTCCTGGGCTGAGTGCTCAGAAAGCGACTGCATGTCTCAATTCCGAGAATCCCATCTTACCCCTGCTCTTATAGATGAGGAAACTGAAGGACAAAGAGGAGAGGCACCTGCCAAGGTCACACAGGTAATAGGACAGAGGCAGCTACTATCATCCCTTGTACACCTTGTCCCAGGGTCCCAGACGGGCAACTCACCCCGCCTGGAGAGGCTAACGGATCTCCTCACTGAGCCCCATCTCTCAGGAGAGAAGCGGTCCAGTTCTTTAGTGATGTACAAATGCTTCACCTACAAGCAGAAAAGACCACACATCTGCCCATCAGTTCCCAGCTCCTGGGCTGGAGGCCTCTCTATGCCCATACCAGATTCCCTACCCGCTACTGTTTTCTTCAGGTGCAGGCTGGTAAGACTTTCAGCAGGGCATCTAGACAACTGAGTCACAGACAACGGGCCTCAACAGTTCTCCCAAATGAGGCAGAACTGACCGTGAATATCTAATTGGCTAATAGGAACCCATACTATTCTCTGTCCTACTAATTAATAGAGTTTGGGTGGATAAAATCCCCAGGATAAGTGATGTCCAAGCCTTTGCATGGTAAGGAAGAGAGGAAATATTGTAAGTAAGTGGATTATTTTTGAGAGAGGGGAATTAATCAGTGACACATTTGCACAGTGGCAAATCAACATGTGAAAATACATAAACACACACACACATGCATAGTACCATATGTGTTCTAGTCCCCCATAAGGCTATAAAGAGGCCTCTATTGCACCTTCACATTTTGTGGGGGAAAGAACTGGCTCCACCCTTTTGCTAACGAGCTTTGGTGGCCTCAGTTTCAGGACAGTGACAATATGAGACCATTGCTCTCCCTCAGCTCACTGCAGGGGCTTCAGACAGGCGTGGGAGTGGGCTTACCTGGTGAGGCCTGACGCAGTGCAAGTTGAGGTTTGGGTACCGTGTTGCTGGGTCCAATGTGTATTGTTCAAAATTTTTGTTGATGTTCTCCGGGGTTGTCTGAGGTAACAGTCGGTAAAGACTTTCTCTGCAGGGAGTCAGAACCCAGAGGCTGGAGATTATTCTTGCCACCTCAGGCCCTTGTTCCTATACTCCCCTCTCCCCCAGCCTCCAAGGTTTCAGGGATGGCCTCTGGTGTGTTTGTATAATTCTTTCCTATAATCTCACACACTCCTGAGAGCTGCAAAGTGTGGGGGAGGGGCAAAAAGGGGGAGAGAGGAAAGAGTACCCAGGTGGTAGGGATGAGGTCTCCTTTCCTGGGCAGGATGCCAGAACACAGGTTCAACATCTCAGCAGACTCTGGTTCAGTTAAAGCTACGACCCAGCCACAATCTTCTGTGGCCTGCTTTTGTGGTCACAGTGGCCCATACCCAAGGCCATCAAAAGCTTGTCTCCCATATCAGTACTAACTCTCAGGGTCAGCCATCTGTTCGTGGTCCCATGGCCAGCAGCAAGGGCCTGGGAAGAAGCCAGGACTTCAGCTGTAGAAGAGGCCTGGCGGGCCCCAGAATCCTTACTCAGGGAAGGACACTGTGAAATGTCCTTGAAGACTTCCTTAAATAAACCTCTTGGGCCTTGTGTGGATAAGAACAGGACTGATTTCGGACTAGCCTATGTTCAGATTTGTCTCTACTGTCCTGGACACTGATGGAGAGGCATCATGACACAGAGTGTCCTTGAAGACCCGGAGATCACATCAGACCACAAATGGGATGGTAGATTAAGCTCAGTGCAGAGGCCGCAGGACAGCTAACTTAGCTCTACTCCTGCTGAGTCTTCTACCCAGTGTCCCACTTAGGAGTTCTGCTTGAGGCTTACCTTTCAGCCAGCACCTCCAGGGGAGAGGTGCCCTGGTCCCAGCTCTTCACCATCCATGCCGTGTCAAAGGCTGCCAGGAAGCCCCGGGCACAGCCTGTGCCCATGGGCCAAAACGGCTGTAAAAGAACACAGGTAAAATTCTCATTGGCTCTGGTGACTCACGGTCTCCTCTCCCATTCTACATGGCATGCTCTGGTTGTGGGGTGCCATCTCTGAGCCAGAGCAAGGGCAGAATCCTGCTGTCCACAGCTTCCCAGAATCACTGGTAGTTGGAGCATACATGTGAAGGGTATGACAGCCCCACATGTAGCAAGGCTACCTGGGGGCTCCGGGAGAGAACGGAACCAGGGAACACTTCATGGAAGTGTGACCTTCATGTCATTGTAAAGCATGGATGGGGTTCTGACCTCCGTCCATTTGGGAACATCAGGGGCAAAGGTTTTGTGGATGGAAAGTGCTGGAGCCTGCCAGAACACTCAGCACAGGAGAATGAGGAAGGGAAGGTTGGGAGGGAGACAGGGATAGAAGTGACAGGCCACTGGACCGGGTGGTGGTGGCACACGCCTTTAATCCCAGCACTTGAGGGGCAGAGACAGACAGATCTCTGTGAGTTTGAGACCATCCTGGTCTACAAAGTGAGTTCCAGGACAGCTAGGACTGTTACACAGAGAAACTTTGTCTCAAAAATTTAAAAAAAAAAAAGTGACAGGCCTCAATAAGGGTGAACAAGGACTGATCTGGTCAAGTCAAAGGTAAACAGCTTGCTCCATGGCGCACCCAGGGTAGGGTTTGCAATCTGACTCTCAGCCCTGGATAACTTTGCAGACACTTGTAGTAATAAGAGCGGCGGGGCTGCGTCCCCAACACCCCAGCCGCCTGCCCGGCTAGCTTATGCCCCGAAATAATTACACGGACACTGTATTCCTTTAAGCACTGCTTGGCCCATTCTCTTCTAGGCTAATTCTCACATATTAATTTAGCCCATTTCTAATCATCTGTGTGTAGCACCCCAAGGTGCGCTTACCGGGGAGATTCTAGCCTAATCCATCCTGGGTCAGAGCTTCATCCCGGGACAGGGGCATGGCGTCTCTCTCAGGCGTCTGCACAGCTCTCCTCTCAGGAGCAGACGCCTGAGAGAGACGCCATGACGCCATGCCCCGCTCCCGGGATGAAGCTCCGACCCAGGATGGACATAGGCTAGAATCTCCCCGGTAAGCGCACCTTGGGGTGCTACACACAGATGATTAGAAATGGGCTAAATTAATATGTGAGAATTAGCCTAGAAGAGAATGGGCCAAGCAGTGCTTAAAAGAATACAGTGTCCGTGTAATTATTTCGGGGCATAAGCTAGCCGGGCAGGCGGCTGGGGTGTTGGGGACGCAGCCTCGCCGCCGCCCTTACTACTTCAGACACTGACAGTGTTCATACTAAGATTGGAAACTAACCCTGAAATGGTCATTTATCTAAGGGGCCTTGCACTTACAGGGTCAAGAGGGAGGGCCACGACCTCAACACTATACTTTGAAAACCCCTTGTCCTCACAGTCCCCCTCATACTCTGGAAGATATCTACATGGAAAAACCACACAGGGACAGGCACACGAGTAACAGGTCCCGGCCATGCTTAGGGTCTACGTGTTGTGAGGACAGTCCTGGGCTCTTGACCAGGGCTGGTTAGTTTTGTTCTTCATTCTAGAGGCAACGCAGAAGCTGGAAATGGGAGAAAGGGCTTCTGCTACAGGCAAGCAGACAGATCTCAGAATTCAGCCAACAGGGCTGGCTCCCAGGGTTTGAAGGGCAGGTAGTACCTCAAGCAAGCTGTCGCCCACAAGGGCCACGAGCAGCTGGTGTGCCTGGCGCTCACGCATCAGGGCTGCATTCTCTGAGGCATACATGGAGGTGAAGTCGAACATGGCCACATCAGGCTGCCCATTGTGATTTATGGCGAAGTCTAAGGATGGCAGCTGGTAATTGGTGGCAAAATCCGCGGCTTCACGGGCATAGGAGAGCAGTTTTTCCTGGTTCACGTTCTCTGTGCACAGGAGCATCTCTGTGTCAATGTAGTCCTGGGGAGATCAGAACATACGTAAAACCTCCCTTCTCTTCAAAGGACTACAGACCAGGGGATGGGTCTTCATGAGGAGGCTAGAGGGGCTAGGAGGTGAATCAGTCTTTAAAGCGTTTGCCGTGCAAACACGAGGGCCTGTGTTCAATCCCCAGAACCCACATAGGAATCCAGACAGAACAGTGTGTGATTATAATCTCAGTGCTGGGGAGACAGAGACAAAATGGTTCTCAAGAGTCCTTTGCTAGTCTGCCTAGCCTAATGGGTAAACTCTGGACCAGTGAGAGACCTCAAAAGACAAGATGATGACTCCAAAGGAGTCACCCCTGAAGTTAAGCTCTGACCTCCACAGAGATGCACACATGTGCATGTGTGTGTGCAGGAAGTGAGTATGTGTGTGTACATGTACTTGTGCCTGTGAGCACGCACGAATCAAAACTAGAACACCAGAGCCAAAGAAGTAAGCACATGGTCCAGCCATGGCAGTTAGCACGGTCGTGATCAAGCACCCAGTTTGGCGTTGGGCTTTCTGGCATCCAAGGTGAAAGGGAAATGTGATACAGGCTTTCCTTATCAGAAAATGAAGCATAGCAGTTCCTCACGGGAGGCGAGTTTTTCCTGGCACGGAGTGCTGAAAGATCTGTCTCATGCAGGAATTTAGAGAGAGGGCACTGGGAACTGTAATGGACAGCAGACTTGATAACAGCCTCCTGGCAAACAAGGAACACATTGCACATGGCTGGTTCTGACGATAACTTTCAGTACAATTAAGAGACAAAGGAACAAGCCAGTAAATGTGATTTAATAACGGATGGAGTGAAGCTACTGGGGTCCAGATATGCTGCCGTTAGTGGTTAAACAAGATCAGAAAACAAAAGGGGGAGTGCCATGCCTCTCTCTGGATTTCTTTCTGAACTCAGTTGCCCACTTTTCTGTGATGCTGAGGACACTCTGTCTTGGCTACAAAAGTGGGCACTGCCCTGCTTCTCTGCTGGGGTGGAGATGACACATGGACAATGAGGAAATTCATCCTAGAGATGCAGAGCGTTAGATATTTCCAAAGCCTGTTCTGCTTAAAGGCCACCTTTCCTAAAGAGGACGCGAAAGGGCGAGCTCCCACCAGCAGTATGCTCCCAATGTGCATGAACAACCTGGGTTCAGTCTCCAGCGCTGATTTAAACTGGGAGTGGTGGGGCACACCTGTAATTTCAGTGTGAGGGAGACGGAGGCAAACTGATCAGGAGTTCAAGGCCATCCTCAGCTACAATATGAGTTCAAGGCCAGCCTGGCATACATGAGATTCTATCACAGCTGGAATATGGGCATGCTGTTCGACTTTATTCTGCATTTTCACTTTCAATACCATAATTGTAAGATCTCCTCCTTGGAACTGTATGAAGATGGAAAGAGAGTGTATACATGGAATCCCTCATGCAGTGCCTGGCACACAGGAATAGATGATACTCCCTGCCCCTACTAATTCACAATGTCATGAATGGTGTCACATGATGAGACGCCAACTGAACCTATCCAAGGTTCCAGTATGGGCACTCTACAGGTTCCAAAATATACAACCTTCTCTATACCCAGAGTGACCTTCTGTTTCTTGTTTCTGTTTCTTGGGGAGCTGTGACTTCAAATACTCTATTTCTGAAATTCTAATATTTCCTCACAGAATATACGTAGCATTCACCCAAGAGAAGACTGAAGAAGCCACCTCAGTACATCTGAGGGGAAAAGAGGACATCCTATTGCCATACTGACCAACCAGCAGTGAGCTGGCAGATCTGAAATCCCAGTGCTCTCAACAGCTAGTGTGTGTGTGTGTGTTGGTGTGTGCGTGTTGGGTGTGTGTGTGTGTATGTGTGTGTGTGTTGGTGTGTGTGTGTTGGTGTGCGTTGGTGTGTGTGTGTGTGTGTATGTGTGTGTGTGTTGGTGTGTTGGTGTGTGTGTGTTGGGTGTGTGTGTGTATGTGTGTGTGTGTGTGAGGCTAGCTTCTCCCGTCCTACCCACAGACTCTGCCCACAACTCATGCTCTCAGCAGAGGCCCAGCCAAGGTGGAGGAGGCCCAGAGGAGGCCTGGGTTACTAATGCTTCCAGGCCAGATGCCAGTACAAGCTGGTGAGAAGATATGCACACTGTACCCTGACAAGCAACACTGAGTGGTCCCAGTCCAGGACAGGACCTGGAGGCAGCTGACCTGGGGCTGTGGGATCTTTATCTGGAAGCAGTGAGCACAGGAGCTCTAGAAGGGTGAGGTCTGACCAAGGCCCTCATCCTCCCCACCTCCTCTCTCTCATCTTTATCCATCCATATGTGTGTGTCTATGTAAGAATATGCCACATGCATGCAGTGCCTGCAGAGGTTAGAAGAGGGCACTGGAGTCGGCCGGAGCCTCCGGATGTGGGTGAGAGTCACCAAACGCGGGTCCTCTGGAGGAGCAGCAAGTGCTCTTAATCTCTAAGTCATCTCTCCAGCCACACGATGTTCGCTCTTAAACTCGATGATGCATACTAGGTCTGGTGTGCACGCCTGCAATCTCAGCTCTTGGGAGACTGAGGCAAGAGGATGGAGAGTTTGAGGACAGCCTGGACCACACAGCAAGACACAGCAAGACATCATCTCAGAGCAAAAATAAATAAGTAAACCAAGAAGCAAAGCCATGGAGAGAAACCAAACAGCCAATAGGACAGAGCAAGTGTCCAAACAAGGCTGCGGTGTGTGTGTGTGTGTGTGTGTGTGTGTGTGTGTGCGCGCGCGCGTGTGTAGAACCCTGAAAACCACTGTCTACCAGGCACTGAGCCAAGCATGATGTGTGTGCACACATATATACATATATGTGTGTACATTCCTCATGCATCCCTGCTCATATACAGTGATGTCTCAAGAACTCTTCAGAGGATTTACAGGCGTTATTCCACTTTATAGACAGAAGACTGAGATTCAAAAAAAAAATCAAAATCTTGGCCACCATCCTGAGTTAGCTCATGGGAGAACCAGGTCTCTGCTTGTCTCTGAAGGCGCAAACAGTAAGTATTCCCCCGTGGCAAAGGGACACAGTGTCAGACTCCAAAGTGACGTCATCTCTATGTTCCACAAGGACAAGGAGTCCCCATCTCCAAGTGAGTGTGACCTCTTGGAGAAGAAGCGGGGCCAAAGGAAGAATGACATTTGAGGAAGGAAAAGATTCAACTGATCATATTCTGGGCAAAGGTCTCTCACCGCAACAGGTTTGAAACATATCTGTGTGGATGGGTAGTCACACAATGTCAAAGGCAAGGAAGGGCCCAGCAGTTTCTCTTTCCCCTCCCCCCTCGCTTGGGTTCTAGCAGGATAGTATCTCCTCTCACATCTGCTGATTCTGCCAGCCCATGCGCCCTGGGGGAAACAGTTGAGAAATCGCTATCTATGGATACATACATTAATGATGACTCCTTTGTCCAGCAGGCTCTGCTTCTTGGCTGTCATGACAAAGTAGTGCGTACAGTCCTTGTAGTAGACAATGTTCTCGAGATCAATCCCTGCAAGGAGAAGCATTCAGACCAAGTTTACCAACGGCGCCTCGCTTCATTCCAGGTCTCCTTATGTATGTGCAGAAGATGCATATAAGATAAATAGTAAAGACATATCAGGCTGTGGACCAGAAACAACTAGCTTTTATGATTGCACAAAGGCATGTTCAAAAGTAAAACAACCAAACAGCATACAACAACCACAGATGTCTAGTATTCTTAAGTTAAAGCTAGACAGAAAGTATTATAGGAAGTGCTAGACAGGACCACAGATGCAAACTTTGAACCTGACTGTATGGATCAGGCTCCATCCACTGTGTGTCCACAGAGCATCTTCTATCATGGCCTAGCTTGAATGAGAAAACCCAGGTCAGAGGTTAGAGGCTTAGATTGCATTGTGGTATGTGGGTGTGGGCATGTTCCTGTGTGTAGGCCAGAAGACAACCTCAGGTATCATTTTTCACATACCTACCTACTTGAGACAGGGTCTATCATTGACCCAAAGCTCAGCAACTATAGTAGACAGGCCAGCCATGAGCCTCAGGGATGCTCCTGTCTCCACGTCCTAGAACTGGGATTATTAACATACACCACCACACAAACATTTTTATGTGGGTCCTGGGAATTGAGTTCAGATCCTCAGTGGAGCCATCTCCCCAGCCCTAGACCTCATCTTTTGTCCTCTCCACAGACAGCAACACTTTCACACATTAGGATTCTGCACTGAAGATCACGCTATGAGATGATCGCTTTTCTCTGGTTCTCAAAGGGATGCGGGGAGGCTCAGTCAGAGCCACCGGCTCACCTGAGAACTTAAGATAAGTCAAATCATCAGGACTGCTGAATTAGAAACTGTAGGTAGGGCCAACACCGTAAGTGTTAAGTTCCCTGGGTGGCTCTGGTGGTCACTAGAACATGAGGACCTCTGGCTGGTGTATGTGACAGGAAGTAAAAGGCACACAGTGACCTTAAAGCATCCACACAAGGTGTGCTGGGTAACCATAGCAACACCCTTATTATTACAGTAAAATAGGAAACAGCCATGCACACGGAAGGCCCCCAAGAGAATCAAAGGAAATTTATTGCTGTCACTGACCTGAGACAATGACTTACGGTGTGACAACGGCCAAGTTTAAAGGAAGCTCGGGAAAGCTTTGGAGAAACACATGCAATGTCCTGCCATAATCCCTATCTGGCGGTTCGGGTATTTATTTTCTTTGTTTCTAAGGGGGAAGGGAGGGCTGGAAAATTAAGTATTAAGTCATTCAAAGGATACAATACTCTGGAAAGGAAACATTAAAACTTGTAATAATAAATTGGGGAGGCTCCGAGGGACATAAGGTGGCAAATAGAGTTGTAACCAGCAAGAGGCTGAGCCTGGCTCAGCAACTCAGCCCCTTCCTAGAAAATGAACTTTGGAGAAAATGATTCCATGGGAAATAGCACCTTAACAGGAAACCCATGGAAGGTGGGGGTCAGAGGCCAGAGTCTTAAGTGAGCACATGTGTCTTTGTGGGTCACAGGGTCTCCGTTATAAATACAGTGGAACCAGCCACAGACAGCAGTGTGAATGGATGTCCATGATGAGTTGTGAGATCACAGTCCTTGCTAAAGGACATCTCAACGTATCATGGAACATACCCCTTTTTGATTTTTTTTCTCCCTTTGGCCCCTTGAACATAGAAAATCAGTCCCATCTCAGAGGCGATACCAAAGCCACAGGGTCATCCAGAGTCCTCGGGCTTTGATGCCAAGAGAAGCCATGGTCCCCAAAACCTACCATCAGGATTCTATTTAAGATGTGATGTTGAATGGGAAAGTGAGAAATGTGGACACTAAAACGTGCTAAGACAAGGAGAAGACAAGGTACGGGTGCAGTGATTGGAACAGGAGCCACGGGAAACAAGCGTGTAAGCGGCAGTGAGGGAAAGTGTCAACAGACCAGGGCAGACTGGGCACCAGAGAGCATGCCTGGCACCTTCACTCCTTTTATAGACAGGGTCTCCTGTAGTTGAGGCTGGCCTCAAAATTACTGTGTAGCTGGTGCTAGCCTTGAACATCTGGTTTTCCTGCTTCCATCTTCCAAGTGCTGGGATTACAGGCACGGGCCACCATGCCTTGTGAGTATAGAAGCCTACTTTAACATTATCACTGTGCTGCCTTTCAAGGGACAATGTGCACTTTTGGTCAGGTTATAAAGAAAGCCAATTTCTCTGTTTCTCCGCTACCCTCATGAGCATCTGTCGTTCTGGCCATATAGAAGATAAGTCTTGGGCTGCTTATCTGCCCCAGACTCTATACCCAGCTATTGAATCAGTATCTTCTGTCCCATGGTTAGGTGACAATTGCTGCCAGAGCATGCTGGGGGTGGGGTGAGTTGTGTGTAGGGTCCTTGTCCTGTCTCATAGGGAGGGGCAGCTGATGTGCTGCACAAAGCCCCGGGAGTCTTCAGGTTCTCCCTCAGATTATAGGTTCCCTCCTCAGCATGTCCCAGCATTTCATGCAGAGCTTAGGCACAGACTTCCCAACTACCCTGTGTCACAGTGCTTTACATGGGTACCCTCTTTGGATAGGGAGACCCTTCAGGAGGGGTGGGGCTAACATTGACATTGTACTCTACAATGCTGAGCGCCAGTATACAACAGACATTCAGTAAATGTCCACCATGTATTAGCAAAGTCTACAATCTATTTCCATATACAACATCCAGAACATTCTCTCAAGATTCCCTCTTTTCCTTGAAGGGCCTCTAGACATTTAGTGTACTGAGAAAAATCTTTGCTCCCAGACTCCAGTCCCAGCAACTCCTGTAAGCCAGAGGGCCCCGTGAACAGCTTGGGAATCTTGGGTGAAGAAGGACTAGGGAGAAAAACTTAGTCAGAAAAACGTGTTTTGGGCAAATACTGCAGAATGGAATTTGGCCAGAATCCATGAGTTGGGGGAGGGCAGGCATGGTGTTGTAACCCCAGTGTTGCACAGAGGCAGACCTCCTGAGAACCCTCCTGGGGCTCACTGGCCGTGCAACCTAGCCTACTTGTCAAGCATTAGGCCAGTGGGACCTTTTCTCTCTACACACACACACACACACACACACACACACACACACACACACGACAGCATCTGAAGGACACTAGAGATTGTCATCTGACCACCATATATCTGTACACACACACACACACACACACACACACACACACACGAGGACAGCATCTGAAGGACACTAGAGATTGTCATCTGACCACCATACATCTGTACACACACACACACACACACACACACACACATGAGGACAGCATCTGAAGGACACTAGAGATTGTCATCTGACCACCATACATCTGTACACACACACACACACACACACACACACACACACACACACACACACGAGGACAGCATCTGAAGGACACTAGAGATTGTCATCTGACCACCATACATCTGTTCACACATGCATACACACATACAAACATACTGTGAATAGCGTCTGGTTTAGAGAGGGGAGGTCTCACCTGTTTCTTCTTTAAGGTCCTGAAAGAACTTCTGGTTGAAGATGAAGGCCACGCCACTGATCTCCTCCACCTTGGCCTCGGCCGTGCTGTTCCTATTTATGAAGTTGGCAGTGATGGCGATGGCTAGCTTCCCCCGGAACTCCTTCCTCCTGAACCCTGTGTAAGGGACAGGATAGATGTGTCAGTCCTCTAGATGGGGTGGGAACTCAGACAATACTGCTGAGAACACTCTTCTCTGTGCCCCAAAGACAATGGGGACAGCAGTTCTGGAGCAGGCAGAGGCACCAGACTTGTTCCAGCAAGAGGCATTTTGAACTCTGTTCTTTTCTATATCATTGGACCATATGCAGCGCTTACATATCCACAGGCCAGTGGCCAAAATGATCTGTGCAGCAGGCTACCACAGACCTCAACCCTCTGGAGATGTTCTGAGTATATCACTGAAGACTCTTAAGGTGCTTTGGCACTGAGGGCTTGCACGGGTCAAATGGTTTTGTTAGCATTTTAAATGGAAAAGAAAACCTTTTGAAAAATAGGATTAGACTAAACTCCCATAGGAGAGGGATGCTAAAACATTTTCTTTATAAATTTGTTGTTATGGGTCATATTGCATTGCCATCTTCCTACCACATATGTTGGTGAAATCCTAACCCTTGGTGTCTCTGTATGTTGGGCTTAGTTAATATAAAGTCAACTGGAGTATAATGGGCCATCTACTGTAATACAGCTGATGTCTTTATTCATGGGGAAAGTTGGACCCATAAACACACTGAGGAAGATGCTCTGTAAAGATGAAGGCAGAGATGGGGTTGTGCTTCTGAAAGCAACACCAAGGTCTAGCAAAAGAAACCAGCACACTAGTTCCCAGTGACTGGTGTTTCAATGTATGCTGACTGGTTTATGTCTTGACATAAGCCTAGACATACCTAGGAAAAAGGAATCTCAACTGATGAATAGCCCCTAGCAGACTGGCTGAGGGTATGTCTGTGGTGGCATTTTCTTGCTTAGTGATTAATGTGGAAGGGTTTAACCTCTAGCAGGCTGGGCATAGACCCTAGGCTCTCAAGTATTCTGACATGTAGTTTTCCCAAACAACCAGAACAATCCCACAAATCATACACGTATTCACACTGGCAGCTTCGATGTGTCTTGTCAGACATTTCTGTGAGAAGATGGGCACAGGAGTGAGGGCAGGGCAGACTGTGGGGCAGGACAGACTGTGGGGCAGGTAGCAGACAGGAGAGGCCTGAGCTGAAGGACCAGATATGCAGACTTCTCTGAGATCAGACCTATTTCAGTATGTGTATCCTGTCCTCAGAGAATGAGTTTGCCCAGCCATGCATCTTCATCTTATGACCTTTGACAGGGGCAGACTCAGAAATAACAACTGTCCCTACTCTAAGAGATGCCACCGACACCATGATGTCTTCCACCCATGGTCTCAGACAACCGTTCTGTATAAATGAATACACAAAGCCTGTTGCTGGACTCAGAGAAGTGTGGCTTTGGAGCCTGAGAGTTTGGCTGCCTGGCAGTGGGTATTCTCAAGAGCTATGGAGAAAGAGGCCCTTCTGTTGATTGGTAGAGTACTTGAACATGAACGGATGCCAATTGGCATCTTGAGATGTTTGCCTTAGACAGAGCGACAGGAGAATGCACCTTGGCTAACACAGCAGCAGGTGCTCAGCCCATTTATGTTGACATTTCCCACAGTATAAGAAGCATTTTTACAGAAAAGCCCCCCCACCTCTTGCCCCCACCCTCTGAGAGGGTTCTGCTATCCAGATTCTCATTTGGGGATGCTGAGGTCCAGGGAGGGAAAATGGAATGGCCGTCCTCACACGCTCAGATTCAGGCAGGACAGGACAGTCTGTCTGCCTCTACTCTTAGCCGAAGCATCTGTCATCTTGATCATCCTTCTCCGGTTCCCCTCATCATCTCTCAGCCCCAAAAGATGAGTCCTCACCTTCCAGTGTGTTCCTATTGCCGTCGGCACCAACGATGACGTCAAACTCAAAGTCAGACAGGGCGTGGTCTGCAGGGAGGAATTCTGCCCGCCAGCCGACTTCTACCAGAGCAGAGAGACTATTAGATGAGCGGCAGAGACAGGCTTGAGAGATGCCACCCCTCCCTGCTGGCCATGAGACGCGGACAAGGACCCAGGGAAGCCTCCCCAAGAAAGGCATCAGGCATATCCAGCTTTTGACACTGTGACACAGCGCTGTCGTCTACAAAGCTCATGGTTGAGAGCCTGTGCAACTGGGGTTTTTTATGGCAAAGACCTCTCGTAATATTTTAATAAGTTCACTATTTCATATTTGGCCACACGCATAGCTATCCGGTAGCATGCGGTTCCCAGGCTGCAGATGGGACACACCTGGACACTCCATATCCAGCTTCTCTCTGGTTATCCCGCACAAGGCGAAGAGGAACTGCCGACTCCACACCTGGGCTGGCTGAACTTCACGAGGATGCTAACCTTTAGCAGACCCCAAACCAGTCTCCCTTGCCCCTGTCTATTTTTCACAGATTCCCCCATATTTGTCCCGTATTCAGTGGCTCCTCATTGTCAAGCAGATCCCAGGGGATGTGGGAGATGCCAGGGAGCCACTTTGCACTTCTGCTTCTGACTCCAATGGTTTGCTGCTATAGAAGCATATTCTCAGGGCAAGCCTGGCTGGGTCCTTGGAATGAGGGTTGACTATCCAGCAGAGATGTTCCAACAGGAGCACACAGTCTCTGAGTCATTTGAGAATGACTGTGTCTTGTTAAAAAAGCAAGGAAATCCTCCCCAAGTTGTCAAAAATATTCTGAGCTGAGGCCAGGAGAAGTCAGGGGTGTGCCCTCCCTGGGAAACAGCAAAGTCTCCTATACACACTGCTTCAAAACTCAGCATTACCAAGATAGGAAGCAATTGTGACAGCAAGATATGGAGCCTTGGACAAACTCCATGACAACGGTGTGTGAAAGAGATCAGAATTTGATTTCCCTTTCTTCTAGTTTTTTTTTTTAAGGTAGGTTCTCAGAATATAGCCCAGGCTGGCCTTGAACCTACAACCATCTTGCCTCAGTTCTGGGATTACAGGTATGCACCACCACCATGTTCAGCTAAAATATCAGAATATTTCCAGGACAGACTCCAAAGATACATTAAAACCCTGTTTTGAATCTCCCCCACCCCCCCAAAAAAATACTACCAAGAACCCACCTAGATGGAGGTATTTTATGATCTAAGTTAAAACTCAGTAAAATCAAACATACCGATGCTCATGATGGCATACCTGTAATACCTGTAATCCTAGCATTCAGAAAAAAGTTCAAGGGTCATCCTTGGCAACATAGTAAGTTTGAGGCCAGTTTGGGCTACATAAGACTATCTCAGGGATATATATATATATATATATATATATATATATATATATATATATATATACACACACACACACATTGTGGTAGTTTGTATGAACAATGGACCCTATAGGCCCATAGGGATTAGTGTGGCCTTATTGGAGGAAGTGTATCACTGGAGTGGGCTTTGAGGTTTTGGAAGCTCAAGCCAGGCCCAGTGGCTCTCTCTTTCTGCTGCCTGCTGATCCAGAGGTAGAACTCTCAGCTGCCTCCCCAGCACTGTCTGTCTGCACGCTGCCATGCTTCCTACCATGATGATGGACTGAACCTCTGAATGTAAACCAGTCCCATTGAAACATTTTCCTTTATAAGAGCTGCCGTGCCCACGGTGTCTCTTCTCAGCAACAAAATCCCTAAGACATACGTATTCCAAGAAATATCTAGAACCTTTGTTTGACAACCACTCTAGAAGTCTCAGTTTCTTTACTGTATTTTAAAATGTTTTGGGGGTGCAGCAGGCACATTTTCCTATCTGCGTGTGAACTGACACACATGTCCTGAAGCTTATGTGACTTTATTATGCTATCAGATCTGTCTTGTTGGCTGCCACCAGCTGAATGTTGTTGGTCGAAATTGTATTTTCCTAGGGACTGAGTAACCAAATTATAGGCCTCATGGTGTAATAGTAATTCCACCATCACATCTGCCCTTGCTGGGAGCTGAAGAATAAGCCCAAAGCCACAGAAATGGTCAAAAAAGGTAAAGTATTTGTCAGTGGAAGTATGCCAAACAGCTCCTAGCAAAAATAACTTGCAGAGATAGCCTCTGAAAGCTACCAGCACAGCTTCCCACTTGGAATATCTGCCCTCAAGGCAGAGAAGGAAAATTATACTGTACTTTGATTTTCTTGGTCTTCAGGAGGCTCTAGAACCCTCACGAATTCCACATTCACATGGATTTCCACTCCCAGCATCAGGGCCACCTTGAACAGGATAAGCTGTAGTTGACGGATACCTGTCGGGAAGAAAAGGAGAGATGACTGTTCGGAGCGATGCCTGGGTACCACCTGTGTGAAAGTGCTGTGCAGGTGTGGTTGGTGGCCTCCGAACTCAGCCCGGCACCTGCTGAGTCTGTACTAGGCACTGCAGGGCTTCTCACGCATCCTTCTTATTCTCGTTTAATAGAGGAGATACTGAGACTTGCTAAAGCCAGGTGACTGTTCAGGGCCATAAAGAAACAAAAAGCAGATGGGATCCTGTTCAGTCTGACCCGAAGGTTCTGCTCTAGCTGGACCAGGCTGTCCTAACTAGGAAGATTTGTCTTTCCTACACCTTTGCTGAGCTGGGCTCTGGCTTTGATGACATAAAGTCTCTCGGAGGAGACAGTGAGAGTCAGGAGCCACAGGAAAGTCAGAGATCAGATGGCTCTTTGGATGAGGTCTATGCCAAAAGCTCCTTCTCTCCAATGGTAATGGACAAGGCGGGGAATTCTCCCACCAGCTGGGCTCATGCTCTCCACTCTTGCCATTTCAAATGCCTTCAGTGAGCGCAATCTTGTTCGTTCCCCGGTGCTCGGCACAAATGGGCATCCCTCCAACTATTTTCCTGTACAGGGAGAAACTGTAAACTTGCTGTTGGCTTCTCTGCATCGAGTGGGTGCAGTTTATTTCATATTCGTGGAGCACCCACAACATGCCAGGTGCCATCTTAGTCACAGCAACGGAGAACATGCTCTGTAATGAAGGAAACAGACAGAACGATGGGGCCTGGGCTGGGGCTGCAATAGAGGAACAATCGGGAGCATCAGAATCCCTGGACAGACTGAGGACAACGAAGTCCACATGAGGCAAGGGCACCTGGGAGCCAGGAAGCGGCTGGGTAAAAATCTCTTTAGTGTGGTGGCAGAAGGAGGTGGACACGCAGGGGAGAGTATGAGGGGATAGACAGTTCACACTTCCTCTTTTAGAGCAAATCCTTTGAGCCAAGGAACAATAATGAGGTCCCCAGAGAAGGTGGGGTCCAGGGTGAGGCGCAGGAAGACTGATGATGAGGAGAGGGAGAAGGGGGAGAGATATGCAAGAGGGACCAGAGTTGGAAGGCGTGGCTCGCTCTGCCTCTGTCCTGGGGATGCTAAGAAGGGAAGATGAGCGTGTGAAGGGCTGGTCAACACCTCTCTCTGTCACGCACAGGACACAGACCACAGGGCTGGCAGAACAGTGCTGGGAAGTAAGAGTTCTAACACAGGACGTAAAGAGAAGCCGAGCAAAGCTGAACATGAAGATGCAGCTGTGGCTGGAGATGGCCTGCAGTCTGAACAGAAGCCAGCCAGCTGGCTACAACCTGCTAAGGAGACAGTCCTTCCAGGGGAGGCTTGGCCACACCTCACAGTGTCAAGGTTCCTGGCTTCTGGGACCCAGGAGGTGCTCTCTAAGTCCCCACCTTCATTCTCCCAGAGCTGCCCTGGACAAGGCCATATCCTTTCCACACTGCTTGAAGCCTTCACTTCACATTCTAAGCAACAGGCCTCCTTCTCTGGGTGGGTCAACGCATCCCGCCAGCTCACGCTGTGGCTTTCTGGGCAAATGCACATTTCTTTCCGTTGGACTTCTGGAATTTTCTCATCCCAAAGTGGGAATAAACTCTGGGGTTGCTGCTGGTAAATTCTTCTGCGTCTGAATAAATTACACCCTTAGTAGCTGATAATTCTCTCCAGTCCCACCCACACTCCACTCACTTTTCCCATCAGCATTGGTCTCATATGGACATGGGTCTTTGGGCTCCGCTCTCACCCATCCCCGTGGAGAAGTACAAGGTTCTCAGGTTTGAGGACCACACACCGCACCCTCCTATGCCACCAGAGCCAAAGTGCTTTAATGTTCAGCACACAGCAGATGGGGTGCTGTGTAAGCTTAGCAATTCAAGGAGACAACATTAGTCCTGTTTTATAGGAGATAAAATTGAGACCTGAGGAAAGGAATTTCAGCCAAGTAAGGAATGAAAGAGACATCTTTGTATTGAATTCACCTGACTCTCATATGACCTGCCTGACTTCCACATTCCACTGTCATCTGAAGATGCCCAGAGACCTCTTCCCTGCAAAGCTCCGAGGAGGTGGGGTACTGCCTCCCCAAAGCAGGTCTGCGTAGGTCTTATCTCAAGATTCCACAGGTGACCAACAGCAGAACAGAAGCCGTGCTCGGCACAGGTGTTCAGACTGCCCGGCACCTGGTCTACATCCTCAGCTTCCCTTCCCAGCCCCCACGGAATCACACAGGCGGCCTTCCCTGTCGTCAAAGCTCTAAGGAGCGCTGGTTAGCGATCCTCCGTCAGAGATTACATGTTCAATGACGTCACTCCTCTCATCTGCCACCTGCCCTCCTCCCCAGGACTCTCTGCAGCACAGTGTCCAAAGGCTTCTGCACAAGGTCTCAACCATCTGGCCCTGTTAGCGGCTTTGTGAGTTCTCTCTCTCAAATTCCTCTGGGAACGTGACTCACTCTATTAGAGCACATTTTATTACTGACAGAATCTCAGCACACTCCCGGAGCGTACAGACTCCGCTGCTTACCCCTGGGCTTTGTATTTCATTCATCCACCCGACAGATGTTTATTGTTCATCTATTATGTGTCAAATACTTAGGCCCTGGAGACGGGCATTTTGGCAGGCAGTGCGTGCCACAGTCTGTGACCAATGGGACACAGCACGGAGCCCAGAATAAGCCACAAAGCACACTGTCATGGTCCGAATGTGAAATGTCACCCCTGGCTCAGGTATTTTGACATTTGACCCCCATCCAGTGGGACTGTTTTAGGGGACTGCAGGACCTTCAGGAGATGTGGCCTAGCAGGAAGAAGTGAGCCTCTGGGGGAGGAAGGGGATTTGAAGTTTATAGCCCAGTCCCTCTGCTGGGCCTCTCTTCACTTCCACATCTGCCCAGATGTGAGCTAGCAGCCATGAAGCTGCTTGCCTTTTTCACTTCTTTGCCACGAGAGGTCTGTGTCCCTTCACACCATGAGCCCAAATAAAACCTCTCTTCAAACTGATTCCTGTGAAGCATCCCTTCACAGGCAAAACAAAGTAACTAAGCATAGTCTTTCATCTGGATGCATGGTCCTCAAAGGGCCAGCGGGGGCTCCTTGATGTGAGGCCTGGACTCACTGAAGTACCCCACCCCAAGATGGGTCCACCCACAGTGAGACCCGGACCTTCATGAAGTACCCCACCCCAGCCCTACTCACTGATGTGGTCGATGGAGCCTGCACAGAATTTCCCATAGAACTTCTTGGCTCCTAGGCCCCGTAGGTCGTGGATGGTGAAGGGCCAGAGGTGTAGGACGTTGTTCCGGGAAAAGGTGTCTCTCTTCTCCACTACAACCACTTTGGCTCCCAGGTAGGCAAGTTCAATGGCAGTGCGCAAGCCACACGGTCCTCCTCCGACAATGAGACACTGTGGGGAGAGAGGGGACACTTAGCAACCTTGAGTGTCCAGGCGGTCTGTCACCGGGTGCCACCTCACCAGCCACAGCATGCTGGGCATCTGCTAGGGTCCATTAGTCATCCACCCGGTGGGCCTTCCCTGTGGGTCCATCACAGACTAGACACTGTTCAAGCCCTGGGAGGATAGGAGGTTTTGAGTGAGGTTGGACCAGATCTGACCCCGGGCCTGGTACCCCCAGCTCTCAGCTTCCTTTCCTGTGAGCTGGGTCTGTGAAGTGTTGCTTTTCCGCAGAGGGCTGTGTCTATAGGACCACATTTGGGAAGTGTACTGGGCTGGGGAAGTGGCTCAGTTGTAGAGTGCCAGCCTGGCACATGCGAGGCCCTGGGTTACATAACCCAGCAACACTAAGTACACAGTAAAAGAAGGAAGTACTTCTGAGTCATGGAAGTGTGTGGAGCATCATTATTGTGACTGAAGGTAGCCAATAGTTCCTTAGGGCCAAGAGCCAAATAACAAGAGAATCTATTGACAATCTGGACTTCATCAAGATTAAAAACTTTGGTGCTGGGGCTGGAGAGATGGATCAGTGGCTAAGAGCATTCTCTGTTCTTCTAGAAGCCATGAGTTCCATTCCCAGCATCCATGTTGGGTGACTCACACCACCTGTAATTCCAGCTCAGAGGATCTGACACCCTCTTCTGGCCCATCATGCACCAGCACACAGATGTACCCCGCCCCCATCACATACAAATAAAAATAAATCTTAAGATAAAACTGATGTTTCAAAAGATTGTATTGCCAAGGAAGTAAAAAGTAGAAAGTCATGGTGGCATCTGCCTGTGAGCCCAGGCTAGCCTGTCTCCCCCTCTCCCGTTCCCCAACCTGGCAAAGGAAAAGACAAAAGGGAAAGACAGTCCCACTGATGGGCGAAATACTTGCAAGACACATAACTGAAGTTCTGCTAGCGCACTTGTATCTAACACGCATAAAATTTGATAGCTTGAATGAAAAATAAAACATCCAAATGAACCCTAGAGAAAGAATTTAGATAGCATTTTTTTCCAGTAAAGATATAAACAGATCCCAAAACTATCAGCATTAGGGAAATGCAAAAAATAAGCCACGGTGAATGGTCACTCCCTGCCACTGGTAATTTGATGGGGGCACATGAACCAAGAGCTGGAAACAGTCAATTCTCACACCTTATTAGTGCAAATGATTTCAAGCAGTCTGGTATTGCAATTTCTTTATCAGCTAAACACAGGGGTACCATATTAGCCAGCCAGCCCACTCCTAGGTTCATATTCTCAAGAGAATCGAAATCATCTCCATGAACACCAAGGGAAGGATTATTGACATTAGCCCCAAACCTCAAACAACTCATGAGCCTATGAATTGATGGATAAGCAAGATATATGTGGGCCTATCCTCCTGCAACCTCGGTGGAACTCTGAAACACAGCTTGCTCCAATACCGAGGGGACTTAAGAGGTGAATGAACAGACACGTGGCAGGATCCCCCACTCTTAGATCCTCCACAGTGGAACAAAACCTTGGGCCCCTTCCCCAACTCCCTTGGCTTTTCTAGCTAGCCAGCAGGGAGTTTCCTGTGGCTAGGATCCCCTAAAGCCCAAACCCATCCACTGGACCCCCCAAGCTACTAGCCACACCCCACCTAAGAGCTACAAGCTTGCTATAGTATTGAGGGGACCAAAAGCTTGTAACTGGAGTTACAGGTGGTTTGCAAGGCACCATACGGACGCTGGGAATTGAACCTGGATCCTCCAAAAGAGCAGCCAGTACTCCTCATCTCTCCAGCCCTGAAGTTGGGGTCTTATTACTGAAAACCAGTGTCTGTTTCTAGAGACACTCAGGCCACGGCGTAAACTTGGACTTTGAAACAAGGAGCCAGAATGTCGTATGGTTCATGCTATTTCATGCTCAGACAGGGAAAAGCCTGGTAGAATGCAGGGGACTTTAGAGGAGGGGGCTTCCTATGTTATCATCAGTATCACTGTAGCTCACGTCTGTGGCGCACTCACTCACAATCGTGTGCTTGGCTTCTCAAGCTCAGGAACTGTTACTGCTCATAGAAGAGAGCTTTCATTCTGACCACTTCCCACATGGGGACAGCAGGGCACAAAGCTGCAAGGTAACCAACTGGTCCACGGTGTCAGATTGAAAGCCGCGGAGCCAGGATCTAAACCCAGCTGGTCTTGCTCTCAAGACTACGGTGCAGTCCTGCTTCTGGGCTGATGGAAAGAAAAAGAAAACTGACCATCTCAGCTGATGGAGCCCACTCAGGAAGAGGGGAGGAAGGGGGAGAACAGAGGGAGTGGTCTATGCCCGGATGCTGAAGGTCACTGGGGGTAAAGAAGAGACAAACAAGACTTTGTACAAGGTCCATATACCAAGTCATTGCATGTTGAAGAAGACCAAGTCCTTCTTCAGAGAGGACACAGTCTTAGGACAGAAGAGGGGAGAGGGGGACACATGGTGATGTAGATAGTCACATCTAATTTTCTATAGTGCTACATAAGATCTGAAAGCATGGAAGTAGCCCAGCAGTGGAAGGAGGTCACAGTTGAGGGTGTGTGCAGGGTGGGTGCGTGGAGTATGGGGGTGTGGGGTATATGTGAATAGCTGGAGCTGTTCAGCAAGTCAACAAGCGGGACCTTCACCCACTTCTCACTCACTGATGGACGTTGCAGAGACATCTGGAAACTTTCCTCTACTTGGGATTAAATGTTATCTTAAAAACACATCCCTCTTCCTGAGCAAATACTCCAACCCCTGGCTGTCACTCCCCTAGGCCACCAGGGTCCCCGAGGGAAAGTATGATCAAGTATATCAGAGGCTCCCACACTGCAATCAGTGTAGTTTACTGGCTGGAAGCTTCCAGAGAGTCTGTAGCCTCCCAATTAGAGGAAATGAAGTCACTGCTGAGATTTGACTCACCCCCAGAGACTTTGGGGAGTGCGTGGGGGTGGGGCCCTGGCTTCCTCTCTGGACAGAGGTGCCTGGAGAAAACCGGCTTCCTTAGCCCAGATCCTGCACGTTATCTCACCCTCCATGCAACTTCTTGCTCCACATAGCCAGACAATGACGGTCATTTCAGAACCTGTTCCAAACCCCATGCTTGCGAGGTTTGCTTTGGGCGAAGTCTGGCCCCATCGCATGTCTGCAGTTACTGCCTTTTTCCTGTTGGTGAGCTCGGTCACTCCATGGCCAGCGCTGGGCCAGCTGGAGGATGTAGGTGAAGAAGGGCAGAAGAGAGAGGCCTTCATGCCTAACCCATCTCTGGTACCCAGACAAGGCAGGAAACCTCTTCTCCAGCCAGGGACTGTTGTACCTAGAGTGTGCAAACATTAGCCGGGACTCAAGTCCAGTCGTCTTGGCAGCACATGGGTTACTGTCAGTGAATGCTTGGCTTTCCTATCATTCTAGGCTGCATTACATATTTTGGGCCTGGAATCTCAGAGATGCCAGTCATACCATAATTTTAATCAAAGCAAATGCCAATGGGCTTAGCTACATCAAGGGAGAAAATCTCTGCTAGCACAAAGGCCTGCTGGCTGGGGTGATGGGGACAGGACAGTTCCCTTGGAACGAGCTAGTTATGATCAGAACGGGGACTTGGTATCCTGGCAAGGGGTCAAATGCTATGCAGTCACATGTATGGGCAGAGGAGCAGCACCAGCTTTCTGGGGTGCCCATGGTCAGGAGATGCTCTGGATGTTAGGTGTAGCCCAACGGACTGAACACAGTGGCAAAGGACCCTCCTCTTCCCACAGACCCAGCAATTGCCATTTAGGACTCATGTTCAGTACATAGCGCTTTTGGCTAAAACTCAGCCTCAGTGATTGCTCACTGCACAAGCATAAGGACTTATTTTCAGTTCCCAGACCCATGTGAGAGAGGGAGAGGGAAAGAAAGAGGGAGAGGGAAAGAAAGATGGAGAGGGAGGGAGGGAGGGAGGGAGAGAGAGAGAGAAAGAGAGAGAGAGAGAGAGAGAACGCTATGTTTGGTGGCACACAGCTGTGGGGAGGTACAGAGGTAGAGACAGGTAGATCTTGGGTTCACTGACACTAGTCAGCCTAGTTAAAATGGTAAGTCATAGGCCAACGAGAGACCCTATCTCAAAAGACAAGGCAATATCTCCTGAAGAGTGACTCTCAAGGCTGTCCTCTGCCCCCCGCCCCCACACAGCCTAAAGCCTTCCCTCGAGTTCCTAGATTAGATTGCACACTCCTCCTATGCTCCAGCTGGCTCAGTCCTCATTGTTGCCCCAGAACAAACCCTCATGTTATCATTGGCTGGGCCTCAAGAACAGCCCCATCCTCTGTGTTATCTGTGTGCCTGGAGCTCATCCACTGCCTGGTACACACAGGAGGTCCAACACATAGCTGATGGATGAATGAACTCCCCACCCACTCCCCGCCAACTCAGTCCTGGCTTTCTGACCATGAGAGGGATATTGGGTGCATGCCAGCCAGGGTTAATGCTTGCAGATTCCCACCCAGACAGAAGGAGCCGGGGGTCTGCCAAGGCCACCTACATCATGAACGTCAGTATTATCTTTGCACTTGGGTGATGTGAACTATTGCTCACTGGGGAGCGGGCAGATCCACCAGCAGCAGGAAATCCACTGTAAAGATAAGCCTGGCAGAGTTCAGGCCTGCACATTCTCAACACAAGACAAACATTGCATGGAAAAACCAGACTATTTATCAAGGAGCAGGGATGGGGGCAATAGCTAGTGGGCCCAGCAGGACATGAACGCTAGGAAGGAAGGGTCGGGAGGGAACTCACATAAAACTCTCGCTGCACTTCTGAGGGACCCTGAAAGCGTGGTTCTTTTAGGTTTTTGTTTATGTTTATGTATATAAGTATTTTGCCTGCAAGTGCCTGCGAAAGCCAGAAGGTGTTGGATCTTTTGGAACTGGAGTTACAGATAGCTGTGGCCCACCATGTGGGTGCTGGGAACTGAACCCAGATTCGCTGCCAGAG